ATTGTGGGAGAAATTAGAATCCTCGCTAGGCTAGTGGTAAATGCTAACACATCACCGACTTTTCCGTATTATATTTCTTTTTTGTAATCCCCTACAACATAAAATACAAAGGATAACTGTTTAAATGTTTATTACCAACTAGAAAACTGGCAAAAAAAAAAAAAAAAAAAACCTGCACCATGGCCTTTAAAGCGCCAAGTTACTTTCAAAAGGTGATCTGCTCTATTTGGATCGCTACTATACATCAGTGTTTATATCGGAACTATAAACTAAAAATTCTGTGACAATATGAATATTTGTAACTCAGAAATAATGACACTCTATGGTTGAAAAGACATGACAACGGCTCTCTCTGGCTCAGCACGGATATGAATGTTCACTCCATCACGCAGCTCTAGTTAACTAATCATCTTATAATGAATGTCACTTCAGTTCTACTTTCCGAGTATGAATTATCATGTGAAGTAAAAGACGGAACGATATAAATGTAAGCACTGTAAAAGGTTTTCCCACAAACTCAACTCCGTCATGCTATCACGAGAAATATCATCACGCTTTAATATCGCGAGATCTCGTCACACCCCAACTGAAAATACAATTACCTTTCAATAATAAAATAAAATTAAGAAAATATTAAATAAAATAATCCCATAAAAAATAAAATCCCCTTATTTATTATTACCTTTCAAAAACAAAATAGCACCACCTAAAATAAATAAATAAGATGTTTTATTTTGAAAGGAAAGATTTATGGGTATCTTATTTTTAAAGTAGTATACTGAAGTCATAATTTGCTCCCAGTCCAAACCTGCAGTGTATGGGTTTATTTCTTCTATGGAACCATTAAATAATAAAATAACACAAAATCAAATCGAATAAAAAATAAAATCTTCTTAAATATTATTAGGCTTCAGGTAATAATTTAAGGGGATTTTATTTTTTTATTTCATTATTTATTTTTGTGTGTGTCATTTTATTATAAAAAGTTGATGATATTTAAGGGGATTTTATTTCCATTTCATTATTTTTATTTTAAATATTCTTTCTTTTTTTTGGTAATATTTATTTCAAAAAATAAAATACAATCCCCTTAAATATTACCATCTTTAAATAAAAAAAAATAGAATAAACTAAAAGAAAATAATATGGGAGAAATATTTTGAAATAGTATATTTAAGTAGAACGCGGTCATCATTTACTCACACTTCAGCAGAACATTTAAGGTGAGCGTCCGGCGTCTCAAACACATTCATGACACACACTATTCATGGTGGTGATGTTGTTATTAACCAGGCTGTGGAGACACTTAACCGCACATGTTGAGAAACAGCATCGGGATTGAAACTGCGGATACAGTCGTGGTGTGTGTGTGTGTGTGTGTGTGTGTTTTACTCCTCCAGAGCCTCCAGGAAATCGGCCACGGACTCCACCACGTAATCGGGCACGCAGTCCTTCTGCCCCGGCTCCTCGCTGTCCCTGTATCGGTGCGCCTCCTCCAGCGTGGAGACGCCCGTGAGCGTGAGGACGGTGGAAAGCCCACAGTTGCTGCCGAACAGAATATCCGTCTCCAAGCGGTCGCCGACCATCAGCGAGCGATCCGGATCCAGGTCAAACTGACTGGCGATGCACTCGTACATGAAGCGGCTGGGCTTCCCGATGACCGTGGCCTTCCTGCTGCTGGCCGTCTCCAGAGCCGCCGTGAGACTCCCGGAACCTGCCGGCACATCACACACACACACACTGCTATTGTAGATCACTGAATCACCAGCACAATGACACACTTCTAGAGGCATGTAAACCCTAAACAACAGCTCTGTTCATGCTCAATCACACTAGATGCGGACATGTTCTCAACAGGTTGCTTCATCACATTTAAAAGAAAGAAAAACTAGGAAAGTTATTTTCAGGTTTCCACAGTTTCTGACCAATAGATTTCCCTGGTTTTTCCAATGATTTTTCCAGTAGTTATGACTGAATAAGGACTCGTTTCATGCAATTCTGTCTTTCTAATAAACAGATGTAACCCTTAGAACAGATTTATATTATTTTGCATATATTTAAGCTTTTACAGGACTGTGAGAACCCAATATTTTGCTTGGAGATGATTTGCATTGTGTATTTTAATTACAATTAAGCACATTTACACCTATAACTATTATAATTTAAATTATGCCTTTAATTTATGCTGATTTAAAAAAAATAGCATTATTATTATTATTAATACTATTTCTTAATTGCATTAAAGCAATGAGACTTTTGGTGAAAAAGGTGTTTAAAATCTTGGTTCAAATAGAATACTTTCTCATATATATATATATATATATAATGTATGAGAAAGTAGTCTATTTGAACCAAGATTTCAAAAACCATAAGTGAAAAAGTTAAGGAGCTAGAATAGCCTACATACTGCTACCAATTATATATACATAATGTGTGTGTATAATATACATTCAATTTATATTGCTAAATGAATATATATATATATATATATATATATATATATATATATATATATATATATATATATATATATACACACACACACACACATACATACATGTTTTTGAGGTGAAATGTGACCTGAACTACACTGAAACATGTTCTACGAATGATTTGAATCTTTTTCTATTTTTTTTATAAATCTTCATATGAGCTGCACTGAACATCCTTTGGTATCCCTCCTCAACGCCTCACCCGGGGTGATCCTGCCTCCTCTCAGCGGGTGCCAGGGGTCCGGGTCGGTGGCCAGGAACAGGCACTCAGAGTTCATCAGGTAACAGCTGGCTTTGGCCAGCTTCATGAAGGTGAAGTTCTCGTCATATCCGACCAGCACAGCCTTGACATCCGGATCCAGAGGGCAGTTGTAGATGCTGGTTCCCGGCTCCCGGTCTGCGGCTTCATCCTCCTCCAGCACCGGGACCCCGGCGTCCTGCAGCTCCTTCATCACCCCGCCGCAGCCGATCACGAACACCTTCCCCTGGAGCCGGGCCACATCGCGCAGGTACGCGGCGGAGCAGTACGCCGAGCTGAAGATTTCCTCCTCCGCGATGTCCGTGAAGCCCAGGCGGCTAAACTTCTGCACGTAGTTCTCCCGCGGCCTGGTGCAGTTGTTAGTGACGAAGAACACCCGTTTTCCCCGCTGCTTGAGCAGACTGACCACCTCCGGAGCCCCGGTAACGGCCGCTTCCCCGTTCCAGATCACGCCGTCGCAGTCGAACAGCACGTTGTGCTTCGAGTCCAGCAAGTCTCGGATCTGAGCGCCGCGGAGCGTCACACAACCCTTGCCGCCACCCACCGCACCTGCCATTCTGCTGGCTAGAGATCCTATGATGGACAGGTTTGAACTGCGACCGTTTTATTTAAACGCGCTGATGACTCTGTACGTTAACCGTTAGTGAAATGAACGCAGAACCGAAGCGGAGCGGTTCACCAGTACGTCCATCTCTGCTGTTCCTGCAGACGCCTGATGACGGACCAATCACGTTCTAGTATGTCGGAAAGGATACGCCCCTTCCTTATGTGTCCTCCAATTAGAAAGCGGGCAGCAACATAGAGCACGATGATTGAAGTGGGCGGAGCTTAGTGACCCAGAGGTTATCTCTAATTGGTCAAGTACAATGGGTCTAGTTAATCATTTTTCTTAATTTACAGCTTTGCTGCATTTTTGTTTATTGGTTCATTTTTATATGGAGACCGTACAAAAAAACATGATTTTGTTTTGTAAACCAACCCTGTTTACATTAGGTTAACACGTTTAAATAATACTTGTAACTCTGGCAACATATAGAAATTATAATATAGCCTACATGATACATCACCGGTACAATTTTGAAAGAAGTCTCTTATGCTCATCAAGCCGCCATTTATTTGATTAGAAATACAAAAAACATTCATATTGTAAAATGATTACAATTCAAAATAACGGTTTTCTATTTTAACAAGTTTTCTATTTTAAAATTTCTATTTTAAATTTTATTGTGTCACAGAAATAAATTATATTTTAAACTTTAACTTTAATATAATTTATATCTGTGACACAAAGCTGAATTTTCAGCATCATTACACCAGTCTTCAGTGTCACAAGAAAATATTAAGCAGCACAACTCTTTCCAACATTCATAATAAATCATCATATTAGAGTGACTTCTGAAGGATCATGTGACACTGAAGACTGGAGTAATGATGCTGAAAATTCAGCTTTGATCACAGAAATAGATTACACTTTAAAATATATTCAAACAGAAAACAGTTATTTTAAATTGCAATAATATTTCACAATATTACTGTTTGGTTTGTATTTTTAATCAAATAAATTCAGCCTTGATGAGCAGAAGAGACTTCTTTCAAAAACATTACAAATCTTACAGATCCCAAACTTTTGAACAGCAGTCAGTGTGTGTGTGTGTGTGTGTGTACGTATACGTATATGTAAAAAAAATAAAAAAAATCTCCAGAGCCTCTTAAAATACTAGATATGAACTGGAGTTTGCCCTCTCATAGTTGCACTAGTAAGATAACTCGTATCGTCGTTACAGAGAGGCAGCAGTAAGCAGTGAAGCATGTCGAATAAATGAACACGTGACATTTGAGAGTTCAAATCATAGACTGTAAAAAAAGGTTCAAATACATTTAACATTTTATTTTGTTTTTGTACAGGTCTCCCAAATGCTAGGTGGCGGTCATGTATTATACCGTGGAGAGATCCGATTCATTTTTAGCGAATCCGTTCGTTTCAGTGAACCATTTCAGAGTCAGTATGTCAAGTCCCAGCGTGGTATTTGTCTTATTTCAGTGAAGAAATAAGTATTTAAATACTTATCATCACCATATTCTTAAATACTTGATATTGATTATGTATGAAGTGTTCTCCATAAGAGTCTAGCAATTTAAAGGAGCTTTGTGAATCGATTCAACTGAATCATCAATGAACGACCTATTGGTGAATCGATTCGGACCTCACTAGTGCAGCAACACGAGTGCTAAAGCTGCTTGAAAACTACTGCACATATACTCTGATGTAAATAAGAAATATGATTAAAGCTCTTTTTAAAGCTTTTGAGGTCCGATGGAAATCCTACAGGCACAGATTTGTCCCCTGGATAGCTTTAAATCTGCAGAAAAACGAGAGGTATAGTTCAGTTTGTTCTCTGCTTCAGGTTTGGTCAACAACAGCCTTGTTCACTATTACCGCGTGTTTGTTATTCTCCCAGAACTCTTCGTCACGTGAAGGATCGATCCCAAGACAAGTTAATTCAGGATGAGGAGGTGTCCGAATCTCTCGTGTGTTTATTCACTGAACTACTGAAAAATGATCTGAAGAATCAACGTGAAGCACTCCGCTTACTCCCTACATCTAAACAAAACATTTACACTAATGTAGAGAGTGGAACGCATGATGCTCCCTGTACAGTGATGTTGAATACTCTGGGCTTCGTGACCGAGCGGAAGTGCAGCTCACTGCAGCTCGCGGGAACAGGAGTGTTTGTCACGCGCGGGCGCGTGCAGAAAGGAAGTATCGTGGCGATGTATCCAGGTATTCTTTATATGACGTCATGTGTCAATGTAACACTTAAGTTCGGAAACATTCCAGACATCTTATTTAAATAATAACAAAAAACATAGAATGACGACATTCCAGTTTTTTTTTTGTTTGTTTAATTTTTTTTTTTACCTTACTTTTTAACAGAAAGAGTATATATGTATATATAAATGTAAATTAAAATAGATGTGTACCGGTATGTACATTTTGTAATAATATTAAATATTTTTACATTTAATAATAATAACTGAATTCGTGAAAATATATAGTTTTTTTTTTGTGTAGTGGTTAATAAATGATTTCTCTTTTCAAATATATATATATATATATATATATATATATATATATATATATATATAATTATATTCTCTATACAATTTCATACTTATGATCGTGTCTTATAAAGTCAGATTATTCCTCTGTTATTAATATTTGAATGTATTATAATCCTATAATTTACTTCTCTGTTTTGATAATAATTCCATAAAATCATTATCAAAACAGACAGAAGTAAATTATATTCTCTATACAATTTCATACTTATGATCGTGTCTTATAAAGTCAGATTATTCTAGTTCTGTCCTGCAGTTTTCCTGTTATTAATATTTGAATGTATTATAATCCTACAATTTACTTCTGTCTGTTTTGATAATGATTTTATGGAATTATTTATATTCGTCTCGTCTGTTGCATATGGAATTCTTCATAAGAGTTATGTTTTGATGTTCTTCTTTCACAGGAACCATCTATCAGGCAGATGAGCCGATCTTTTTTCAGTCAATCAGAAATCCATTTGTATTCAGATGCATAGATGGCATTTTGATTGATGGCAATGACAAAGCCATATCCAAGATAGTGTACCGGTGAGCATCATCATCATCATCATCATCATCATCATCATCATCATCATCATCCTGCTAGCTTAAAGAGCTCCTATGCCCAAAAACAAAATCTAGACATTGAAAAAGGCCATAATAGGTCCCATTTAATGCTTTCATTCATAGTGCATTGTGAAGTGCAAAACATAAAGACACAAATGAAATGTTGACTGATTAACAGGTCGTGTAGTGGACGGGACAGGTTGGGTCCCTTCAGTTTGAGTGACAGCTCCTGGTTAACGCCTCATCCTGTGAACCCTCTCGCTGTGGGACAGTACGTCAACAACTGCTCTAATGGTCAGTCAGGTTAAACAATCAAAAGGTTTACAGTCCACAGTCATATAAGAAAATAGAGGAATCTTGTCTTGTTATCCACAGAGAAAGCTGCGAATGTCTGCTATCAGGAATTCGACGTGCCGGATGGATTTCCTCTTGAGCTCCGTCAGTTCCTGCCGAATGTTAAATACAGAGCTGATACTCAAAGGCAAGACCAAACATTTCATGACCTTGTGTTATTAGGACATTCTGACATTTCCTGAAAATTTCATCTTGCTTTTTATTTCAGACCTTTGCGCTGTGTTGTTCTTGTGTCACTAAGAGATATTAATCGCGGTGAAGAACTGTTCTCCAACTACTACACAATTGTGCATTAAATTGATTTTTAAAAAAAGCTGATGTGTGTTTATACATATATATTTTAAACCTAAAATTTGTATAGATATATGTAAAATATTTTTCTAAAGCAAAAGTGTGAAAATAACCAAAAACGCGAGAATATTTTTTTTTTTTACTGCATTTACTAACCTTTGTTCATGTTAATAAAAATTCTCATAGTGCATTAACTAATATTAACAGATACAACTTGATAGAATGTATTAGTAAATGTAAATGTATTATGTATGTAAATGTATTAGTAAATGTTCCAACTTTAAAGTTTTTATTATTTCATGAGTGTTTAGTGCATAAGAAACATTAAGGCATTTGTGACCAGGATCAGAAAACAATCAGGATTTTATTTTTATTTTTTATCTGCACCTTTTAAAATGTCATAATATGGTATTCTAGACAATACAGTGACAATATCAATTATGTTTTATACGTCACCAAAAATCCCCTGAAATAAATTCCAGGGCAAAAATATCCACTTTTATTAATGTTTTCAAAAGCAACTTGCAACACAAATCACATTGCAATAAGAGCAATGACTTTCATATTGATAAGAAACAAAGTTTCAAAGGAATTTTTTGTGTTAATATTTCCACCCGTTTTAATGAAAGTGGAAAAACTTTCAGTAATTTATGTCCTTATGTAAAAGAAAATCTGCTCTGAAAACTCAATCTTTACTGAGATGTTTATTTAAAAGAAACTACTTCAAATGAAATAGATCTGATACTTACAATGTCCCAGCTGTTCCTCTTACCATGAACTCACGAGAGGCAGTTAAACCAAATGCCTGAACATTTAACTTGTTCTTTTATCAGATGTACTTAAAACTGTGGCATATCTTCTATCTATAAATTACAGGAACATCTGTCTGTCTGTCTGTGTGTCTGTCTGTCTGTTAATCGAATATCTCTCGAACAGTTAGACTGATGGATTTCAAACTTGACATTTATTACAATGTTATTATACGTTTATTACAATGTAATTATGTTAATTACATTGTAATAAATGTATAATAACACTGTAATAAATGTATAATTACATTGTAACAAATGTATAATTACATTGTAATAAACGTATAATTACATTGTAATAAATGTATAATTACATTGTAATAAATGTATAATTACATTGTAATAAGCGTATAATAACACTGTAAACAATGTATAATTGCATTGTAAAAAACGTATAATTACATTGTAATAAATGTATAAAAACACTGTAAACAATACAATTATACATTACAGTGTTATACATTTATTAGTGTTACTATACATTTGTTACATTGTTATACATTTGTTACATTATTATTTTGTTACATTATTTTTTTTTGAAAAAGTATCGATTCACTTTTAAAAAAGGAGCGATTCACTTTCGAAAAAGTATCGATTCACTTTAAAAAAAGGAGCGATTCACTTTCGAAAAAGTGGAGATTTACTTTCGAAAAAGTAGAGATCCTTTTTTGAAAAAGTAGAATTCACTTTCGAAAAAGTAGAGATCCTTTTTTGAAAAAGTAGAGATCCTTTTTTGAAAAAGTAGAATTCACTTTCGAAAAAGTAGAGATTCACTTTCGAAAAAGTAGCGATTCACTTTCGAAAAAGTAGATTCACTTTCGAAAAAGTAGAGATTCACTTTCGAAAAAGTAGCGATTCACTTTCGAAAAAGTAGCGATTCACTTTCGAAAAGTATCGATTCTTTTTTGAAAAAAGAACCGATTCATTTTTGAAAAAGTAGCGATTTAACTGAATCTGTAAGTCAGCTACACTGTTTAATTCTGAATATTATATTTTATTCTGGTGCGCTTAACGTTATCATTTTCTCAGAGTTTAAGCTCCTATGTAATAGTAGCCTAGGCTTTTCAGCAACTCAAACATACCAAACCAACAATTACTAAAAACACACAAAAACTTAAACTCAAACTTCCTCTACAGAGGACTAAAATCAAAGTGATTCAAACTAAACCACGTCAGCATCATGGTGCAAATAATGATTGAGAGACATCAGATTTGAGCGACACGTGTGAGGTACTGCGATAGACTCATCGACACGGTCATAATATCTCCAGAACTTTATTTCTGGAATGGTTTGCCAGTTAAGTACAACATAAAATACAAAATAAAAACCAACAAAACAAGAACAGTGTCTATGTACAAACATTAAGAATGATAAAATGTCCTTTTCCAATATTTATTACCATTTGATTGTCTATTTAACACTATAACTTTATTACAACAAAGTGTTGAAAACCCGAACTTTAACTAATAGCTCTTTCAAAAGCAGAAAAGTGAATGAAAACCAATTTTATATCAAACAAAATAAAGCGTAAAACATTCCAAAGGGAAGGTTTTTAAATGTACATTTTTTTTCCCTGGAAGCAAACAACCATTACTACGTAACAATTTCAATTAAGCCATTACTTTTTTCTTTTTTTTATACAAACTTTGGACATAAATTACTGCACCAACACATTTTCCTAAAGCTCTTTTCATTTCTTGGAGGGACAGGAGAAATGAATTGCACAACCTACAGGATTGAATTGGGAGAATATTGTATTAAATGTATTTAAATTGATCAATACACATCCTTCAAGTATGTCAAGACAAAAAAAAAATATGGAGAATTCTGTCCGCAGATACAAGGAAACACAATTTTACAGACAAAGCACAAGCCATCCAAAAGATGACCGTCCTGGAAAACGTCCCATCGACCAGCCCGAAACCCTTCGGAAAACGTTTTCCAGGTCGATTCAACATGCAAGTTTTGAATGAGGGTTAAGGCAACACTGCAAACCGGGCTTCTGCCTTAACCGCGAGACATTCTTGTCATCGTACGAGTTCAGTAAATCCCTAAGATGCGATAATACTGTACATTCAGCTAGCTCCGCTACTCCCCGTGAGCACAGAACGCTAACACACACTACACCCACTTGCAGTTGAGTGAATAAATAAATAAATAACTCTTCTTAAGCAAATCTCTGATGAGGAAACAAACGGTAAAGGAAGTCGAGAAGGCATTCTTGTGGCATACGCAGACTCAAAAACACAGAATTTAAGTCTTCAAGTTCAAATCTGTTTGCCAAGGAAGAAATAAAATGGGTATCTGTACATATTTACAAATTATTGCCATATACGAGAGTATGTAAAGTCAAAAAAAAAAGAAAAAAACGAACAAACCAGGTCCATTTATGATCCATTTAATCTGCAAGCGATTCTTGATGCATAGATAACGTCGGGTCAGTGCTTGCAGGGCTTCGCGAAGATCAGGTTGTTCTGAAGAAAGCAGGGATGATGAACAGAAATCATGTACAACTTTGCATAATCGGTTACTGAAGGGGAAAAGACGTAAAACGTTCGAGAGTATCCCTGCAAATGTTTTTTCTTCAATAAATAGCGCTCTTGAAATATCAAACAAATGCGCTTGTACACATTCGAGAGCAAGAAAGGAAACAAAACGACATGTGCCAGTAATTTCACAAAAACGCTCAATCGTGACCATAATGCAGTCCAGTGGTCTTCATTGCAATAAATACACCCAGCTGATCAAACGCGGCCTGATAAAGCAAGATTACAAAAGAAACTAATAAATATGCAAAGGAGAAAAATGACACGTCAAAGCAGTGTTTTAGAATTATAATACCTCCATAATCAGGACCTATATATTTGCTGGAACCACTTTAAATTGTTTGTTGGTTTGTCAAAATAGCAGAGACTCTCCCAGGGCCGACCGGAACACACTACAACGAACGTTTCCGGGTTTTTGTGCTGAGTGAAAAGGACACCGAAATAAACAGAGCTGCTTCTTCATGGTGCAAAACGAAACAAAAAGTGGTCGTAGAGTATCTGCCGTTCAGACGGCTGGATCGGTGAGCCGAGGCACCTGTAAACACTGATGGGTGCCAGAGGAAAGGCTGACCCCCTGCTGTCGGCCCAAGGTGGGATCGAGCAGTTTTTGATGCGACGACTCCTGTCACAAGTTCAGTTTTCCACAGTATTCGGACGTAGACACGTTTTATGACACTTCCAAAAATTCAAGACTGGAAAATAAATGGCTGTATTAACTCTTGAGAAATCAAGATTTAGGTCTGTACAATTAGACATCACTGATGTCATAGTAAAAAAAAAAAAAAAGAATAAATCTGTACATATATATATACACACGTATATAACCTGGAATCAAAATAAACCAATTAGGAGGAGGAATATCCCAGGAAGCGGCTATATACACTATGTTTGATTGCAGTAAGTCCCGTGAGGTTTGCGAGCCTTCACTCCGACTGCAGCGTCGTGTGCTGATGTAGTGTGTGTGCGCCCATGTAGCCGCCGGCCTCGCCAAAGTCACTGACCGAAACCGCCATTTTGGCACTTGTGATATGACGCGTGCGGCCCTCGAAGTCCACGGCCATGTTCCTGCTGCCGACCGACACGTCGTTCATGAACGGTTCCGACAGGCCCATCTTCAGGCGTTTGGCCGCGGGCCGATCGCAGTCCTCGCCGCACACGTTGATCTGGCCGAGGTCCGAGTGGTAGAAGCCGGTCTCCAGCAGATTGAGGCAGTCGCCGTCTCCGTTGCTGGAGTAGTTGAGCGGCTCTTCGTGACTCAGGGGCCCGCGGTGCAGCCCGTCCAGCGGGGAGAAGTTGTAGGAGTCCAGACAGCTCACGTCTGAGGGGTTACACACCGACGCCACCGTGCTCGTCAGCGCTGGAGAGAGAGGGAAACCGGTTATTTTAAGCATTAGTTAACTGTCACCACCCTTTTTTTGAATATACATGAAAATGCACATTTCGAACTTAAATTGTTGTAATTCAAGAATGCTTTGGAATATAGACGTAAGATTGGTCTCGTTTTAAAGAAGACATTTGGCAGATTTTTGTTGAAGTGAAATAAATCAAGAAAGTGCAACAGAAAAAAAGTTATAGAAGTTTGAGTTTATGGAAATGTACAATGTAAAAAAATTAATTATTCATATTTTATATCAAATATATATTTTCAAAACCTGGGCTACTCTAAAACTGCCGAAAAATCAAAGCCAAAAATCTGAACAAGTTGTGTTTCAAATTTTAGGTTGATATCTCAAAAAATGAGCTTTCAGTGAGATTTTGTTTGGGCGCAGTACCAAACTTTTTCACTAGGTCACAACTAGACTCCATTACTGCCCATATAAGGGCGCCTCCATTTCCATGTGTTTTGAGTGGTCTGAACCATTATTTCCACAATTTTCATACAATTTATGAAGTAGACATCCTATTCAGAAGTAGTATGGGTAGTTTGGCAGATTTTGATATGAATTCAACCTCTAAGAAACACATACAAAGAACATGCATGTGCGTCATAGCTCGCTGCCCCATCACAAATGGTGAATTTATTATTGTTTCTTTATATTTAAAACATTTTCAGACCTTTTTTTCTAAAATAATTGAATGGATGCTATCTTTTGAACTCTTGGCATGAAAACAAACTGAGGTTTCTATCATTTTTTCATGATTTTTCATGTTCATTGCTATTTCAAAATAAAGGTCTGACCACGCCTTAGGACTATGAAAATATTCTTGTTGCAAATTGATAAATTACGGTTCCTCTGTAATTTATTTTGAAAATCAATCACCAAATATGGAAACTAGAGATTGTAAGCTTTCAAATGATATATAGTTTGTCAATATTACTTAAGGTTTTTACTGAGATATTATTGTTTTAAAAATATAATGGCAAACGTCCCACCTGTGGGACGGTGACAGTTAAGGGGTTTTAATCTCGTATTCTCAGCAAGCCTGAATTTAGTTAAACTGTCAAATATTATTACAATTTAAAGGGTTACTATTATGCTTTTGTTACGTTAAACTTTCTTTAGTGTGTGATCCTCTGTACAGCACTTTGATCAACCTTGGGATGTTTTTAAATGTGCTTTATAAATAAAAAGTCCCTCCAGCGGGAGTTCTTCTCTATATCAGTGTCAGTGTTTCTGAACTCCCTGAAACGCCTCCATTGTAGTCTTGAGTTTCTTCCGGGAACGACACGTCACAATATATAAAGGGGGGGGCCTGGTTGAGTGAGTTAGTAGTGTGTTGAAACTCACTGTTATGGTAAGGGGCGGGACTTTTCCCAAACACACTCAAAACGGTCGACCAATCACAACACACTGCTCCAGCCGACCAATCAGAGCACAGTGTGCTTTTCAGAAGGAGGGGCTTCATAGAGACAGGAACTAAACAGAGCGTTAATGAGAGACTGGGAAGAGAGGAGCTGCAACTGTCAAGTATGGGAAAAATTATGTTTTTTGAAAATTCAAACATTAAAACCTGTTCTAGTAGAGCCCAAAAACAATCAAGGGCATAATACTTTCTATGTGAATATATTTTAAAATGTGATTTATTCCTGTGATTCCTCTAACATGATCCTTCAGAAATCATTCTAATATGCTGATTTGCTGCTAAAGAAACATTTCTGATGTTATCAATGTTGTGCTGCTATTTTTTTTTTTGTGGAAACTGCCACCAACTGCTTATAATCTCAAAATGGATGATAAATGGCTAAAAAGTAAACGCATGTCTAAAAACGTTATAATTTGTTGCCATACCGGAGAGGTCACTGGCTGTGATGGAGTTGAGAAGGTTGAGTTGTTGTTCGGTTGGAGGCTCAATCCGGCCACTGCTACTGGAACACACAGAAGCAGATCCGTCCACCAGACCCTCGGCCTCATCCACCAACCGGTCCATCAGATCCCTGCAGGAGAGAGAGAACGATCAGCCTTCAACATTTACATTTAATCATTTAGCAGACGCTTTTATCCAAAGGAGAGCAACAGAAGCAATTAAACTAATAGGACAACAATATGCAAGTGCTGTGACCTGAACTTTAAAGTTCATGAGCATAAGACAGATTTATTCGGCTCGCTTATAAACGTCTATTACGATGTATCAGGTTCACACTGAACAGAAGATCATTACAGAACTCACGTAACACCAGGATAACTGCTGAACTTCTTCTTCCCAAATCGGTTTTGCTGGACGAAAAAGTCAAATCGCTCTGACTTCTTCCACATGTAGTAAAACGCAACACACTCTGCCACCGTCCGTGTGTTGACCTTGAAAATAAACATTCAAAGAAAAGTTACCACATGACATAATAATCGAGCATTACTTGGTGCAATATGATGCAAAACATTTCACGAATAACCTGACTTTTTTTAACCAATCAAATCCTAAAGGATAAATCAGGCCCCATCCTATAATATAATTACACAGAATATTTATAATACTACTTCTGAATATTCATAATATTTTAACTTAAAAATAGAAATGTGTGTATACAATATGTTAATGGAATTTCATGCGTTTTACTATGAGTGTCAACTGATTTATTTAAATCCTTCCTCAAATTTAAACATCTAAGACAACCTTGTTTAGGATCAAAAACGCAGGACAAAAAAGACGCCATCTTACTTTGTGTTTCTGAATGAGGTGGAAGTTCTTCTCATACAACAGAAGAGCGTGTTCAAAATTTCGGCATTCTTCTTCCGACCACGGGAGCATCTCATCTAAATGATTAGATTTTTTAAATCATTTTTTAATAAGCTCAATAACACTGCGATAACAAAACCAACGGCATTATTTCCACTTACCCTTTAAGGATTTGTCATTGTTGCGATACCCTCCCAGCGCTTCCTGGACGTTGTAGTTACACTTCAAAAGCTCATATAAGGCCTGGAGAGAACAAACAGGTTTGTTAAGAAAAATGGATATATGGCTAATGTCCTAATGTGAAAATAAGGCTTAGAAAAACAAACGCAAAAACTATATTTGTGTCTACAGTAAGACAATCAGCAGATGCTTTTTAAATGACTTTATCCTCAATCATATTAGTTAAATTACAGGCAAAATATGTATTTTAACCCTATAACTTGAAAAAGGTGAGGGATTTAATTGGACATAGACCTGAAAAATATTTTTTTATTGTGCCATTGTTTTTCTCAAAAAGTGCAAACGTGCAACATGAGGTAGGCCTGAATTCACTAGTTATCTCTTTCCACTTTTTATTTTGCGGGGGTCAAATAATTCCTTCGTTAATAATTCATAAGATGAGTAACACTGGAGTTTGGTTTATTGAATACGTTATAATCAATAAATATGAAATGGTGTGATTTCAGAGAGGTTTGACACTTGGGCCTAATTGAAGACAACATTATGTTAACCGAGAAGTGTTTGTATACTGACCAAAAGAGAGTAGGCTACATCCTGCTAATTCAGTGGTGAGAATTTAATTGTTGTTTTTATTTATATTGTTGTCTATTTATCGAACTTCCATACCTCTTATATAATAATTATATCAGACCTGCAAACTCCTCAGAGTAAAAAAGGTGACAGAGTCGCGGGGGGGCTTTGGGTACCCGGCTAACGATAAGCCTAGCTAACGTTACAGGAAATATTCCACCATTTGGGGAATTAAGCTCATTTTCCACCTCCCCTCGAGTAAAACAATTGTTCTTTTATCGTTTTGGAAACCATTCAGCCGATCTCCGGGTCTGGCGGTACCACTTTTAGCATAGCTTAACGTAATTTATAGGTATGACGACAATACTAGGGGTGGAACGGTACACAGAAGTCACGGTTCGGTTCATACCTTGATTCAGACATCACGGTTTGGTACGATGGGAGTGAAAAGCAAAACATAAATATAGAAGGCATTTTTATAAATGTCTTAAGCCTTGAATTTTTATTAATAAAGGCTTAGAACCAGTTTATTCGTAGTGCACTGACAATAGTTTTATACAATTCGTTTATTAATTAAATTAATAAAAAGACCTTGAGATATGTTTGGTAATTGTACCTGAATGAATTTAAAATTAATTTGCTATATTTCAGACCAATATATTTGTTTTCCCTTAATTTTAATTAACCCTAACTTTATTCTCATCTGAATTATAAATAATTGATTTCCGTATAAAACAATACTACCATCAAAAACATCTTTTTTAATCAATGTAGAATGTGCAACTTAAAAATAAACAGATCTCTGATCTAGAGCTCTGCTTGAGGACAAGAAATAAAAACCAATGCGATATGATAAATGTCCAAAAAATGGAATGGGGTTGGATAAATATGTTTTGCTTTAAAACTGTGTGTGTTTTTGGTTGGGTGACAGTTGTAGGTTACAGTTTGACAAGAGTTTATAGTTTGACAAAAGCACAATGTTGTGTTTTATTGCGAGTGTACACTTAAGTAAACACTTTGCAGTTTGAATGATTTCCTGTATTAACAATATTACAGAGTATGTTTTTATGTTTCCACTGTTCGATCGCGCCCGCGCCTCTCACACTCACACTCACACTCCAGCGTTGCAATCTTGACATGGCAGCTTGTTCATTATGCTGCGTTCACACCAAACGTGAATAGAGCGAAATTTATCGCTATCTAGAGTTTTATTTATTTTTATACCGTGTATCTCTGTGCAAATTCATCCACCGAACCGTGACGCCGTACCGTTTCGGTTCAATACGAATACCTTACATGTAACGTTACCGTTCCACCCCTAGACAATACAATATTATTGTAAATTATATCTCATAAAAAGCGGTAGCTAACGTCAATTGAATCAAGCAAATAAATAGCTTTTGTTTTTGCTCCAAAAAGCTTGACTTACCTCGAATTTCACAAAAGATTCCTACACGTTATGAGTTTCCATCAGACTCGCGTGGTGTCTCATCCAATGGCGAGCTCAGTAGACGCTGTGTGCTTCAAGATTCTGACGTAAGTGCTAAGATTCCGATTGGCCAAGAGAAAAAGTGCTAAGATTCCGATTGGCCCAGAGAAATGTCAATTATAAGAATTATCCAATAATGTTTCTCAATTCTAGCCTGCATGGCGCGAGTTGGACACAATAGAGGAAAAGGTTAAACGTTCAGTTCAGCCTCGATTTTGTATCGTCATTAGCAGGCCTAGTGTTAAAAGTTGTAAATAGTACCAAATTGAACAAAACAATATAACTGCAAAATGTGAATTTATGAATATATAACGGTATTCTCGGTATCGCAAAATCCATATCATGGTACAACATAGATACCGGTATAGCGCCCACCCCTATTTAGTGGACATAGTTAACAGCCCATCAAGTTTAATGACTGTGTTTGGGTTGTATAAAAATATTGATCTGTGATATTCACCTGCTCATTGTCTTTGACCAGAGAACATTTGCCATCTCCGTCCATCTTTCCATCCGCTCTCAGAGCGTCCTGCAGGAAGCTTTTGACTTTAGACTCGGGCAGCATGTCCGGCTGCCACAGCAGCTGATCTTCCTCTGCGTACACTGAACAACAAATCACAGGAAAACACATTCATTTGAGAGGAACTGTGATAAAACATTTCAAATGAACAATCAGTTCAGCATGTTATTCCAAATAATAAAAATGTTATCTTTCATCAAAATCTAATATTGTTTACATCTCCAAAACAACTTTTATTCTCGCATAAAAACAATGCGGACGACAGATTTCTGACATTATAGCCTGTAGGGCTGGGTATCGATTCAGATGTTCAAATTCGATTCGATTTCGAATCGCAAGCTCTCAATTCGATTCGATTTCGATTCTCGATTCGATTTTCGATTTCTGATTCGATTCTCATGAATATAGATGTAATACAAATCCTATATTTATAAAAAAGAACAGTGGACATAAGTTTACAAGTGGTTAATTAATACAAAGAAATTAAGAGCCACAAACCTGTATATAAAACTCTTTTTTATTTTAGGTACACTATACACTAAATGCATACAATGAATAGACAGGATTTTGATGCAAGATGCTAAATTGATGCTGAAAATTGGACAAGTCAGAACAGTCGCACGCTTTGATCAAACAGGATCAGGTTATTTTTTGTTTAAAATAGATAGATAAATAAATATCAGTTATAATTTTTTTAGACAATTTTTTATTACATTGATCTCACCTAAATGTTTGTTTTTACAATGGGGTAATTTTTTGTTAAGAGTTTATGCAACACATGGAAGCTTGATTTCAATCTTTGAATTAAATTGAAAAAAGTTGCACAAATAAATACAATAGAATAAAGACACAAATAAAGAGACAAAAAGAAAAGTTTTGGGGTATAGGTCAGAAATACTACATAAAACTGAATAAAGTAATCCAATGTAAAATAACACTGGATAGTCTTTTAGTCCTGACTGAATTAAATACATAATAGCATTAATTGTAAGGAATCAGAATTAATAGCCTATGTTGTTTTGACAACAAAATTAATGACAGACACATATGGCTGCGTTCACTTTAAGAACTAGTGCACGGATCCATTACTGTTTATACTGTCTGTCACACGCGTTTTATGCTTATTTAAGACATAACCGACTGTCTTTACGAGGTTCCTCGCCAAGACCAGAGTTTTGACATCATTTTGCGTGTTTTTAACTGTTGAAGCGATATGATCCACGAAAAAGAACTTTTGTTACTGGCGAGCTGTTTGTGAGGCGGATTTAGGCTTTACTGTATGCACGCAGTGAAAAACATGCGCGAGTGCGCGAGTACTGGATAGTTTAAAATTGCTTGAATGTTTAAACTGGTAAAACTTAAAAAGACGTGAAAATGATAAACGTTAGTTACGATGCAATGCTGGCCCGATTTTGCAAGTGAATATTCCGTCATGTCCCGACTCCTAAACACGAGTGTATCGACGCCTGCAGCGCTTGACGCTTGCCTCGTGCAGAGAGAGAGAAGACGCAGCACCGCGAGCCCTAAATATGGAAAAAATCGATTCTTGGCAGTTGAGAATCGATTTTGAATCGACCACATTTTAAAAAACGATTAATCGAAAAATCGATTTTTTTGCCCAGCCCTAATAGCCTGACATTAACCAATAAAATCTCAACCAATATTATTTTGCACAGAATACCGTTTGACTAACAGGGTTTTTCCTGCACTGAAAATATTTTGGCGGCAACCAAACTGAATCTTTGACTAGCCAAAGATTTATTTGATCATTTAATACCTGCTGTTCTGCAGTACCGGTATCCGCTGATAACTGGCTGCTTTAAAACGCTCCCATGAGTGTTTGTGTAAGAGCTCTGTGAAGATCGTCAAAGGTTTCTATTTACAACACGCTTTTGCAGTGCTGAGCTTTGAGCGTGTGAATGCAATGGCCAATTAGGCATGTTTAAGTTAGTTAAAATCAGCTCAACGCTGCTCAAAACCATGATCAAGAATCCTTTCATTATAACCAGCAAGGTATAAACACAATGTCAATAAGAGATTCACTGCACTTTGCAGACAGCTTCATTGATTATAACAGGAGTTTTCACAGGAGCGCAGCTCTGTGTCCCTCGCGTTGTAATTAGGGCTGCAACGATCAGTCGGCGTTGTCGACAACGTCGACAATAAAAATTTGTCGACAAATATCTTTGTTGTCGAGTAGTCGTTTGATCTCACGTGACCTAATGTAAGGGCCTGCAATATCGCGATTTGACCGCTACGGCGCTGTAGCGCTAGAGTGTAGTGCAGCCCTTACAAATGCTATTGCGGTAGAAGAAAACACAGCGCGAATTATGACAGTGCAAACGAATCCGAACTAGCAAGGTTTAGGTTTGGGAAAGTTTCACCAAACTTCAAATCAAGAATGCTGTCGTGTGCAATTTTCACGGGAGCACAACATGCATGTTGGAGTGCAAGAGGAAACATCCCGGCAAAAGAGGAGCCGGTGAGAAGTGTCTTCTCCAGCTGGAGCTTACTAACCAGCGGTACATCTCTCTTTATTGCAATACTACTAATAATAGTAATAATATTATCAATAGTAATATAATTACAGTAATGTGATGACTTATTTTGCATATAATAAAGCTTGATCGAGCTTAGGAGTCAGGGCTGTTTTTATTATTGTAACACTATTAGTATATTAGGTATTATTATAGTCTTATCACTTGCCTGTATTTTGTTCAATAATCATGAAGACTTACAAAACGAGATGTTATATCCTTCCTATGATATAGGAAGAATATCATGGCAGTTACTTTATCATACTATAAATTAAAAGGTGAATGAGAACGTCTCTGTCAGCTCAATTGTCATGTAAAAAAAGATTGTAATTTTATACTTATAATAATTGTTTGCAGATTAATATTTTACCATTCTTTGTGTCCTGAAGTAAATGTCCCTTTTTCTGTTTCAGTTCTAAGAAAAGCAGTGGGCCTATTAAACAATGCTTAGAGAGCATTTGTGTGTGATTTGAGTTGGACCGAAATCTGAAAACTTAAAGAGAATGACCTGTTTAGTTGGCTCAAAGTTCATTAAAACAACTATTTCAAAAGCTGAAGTGATTTTCTTTTTTTATATTATAGTTAGAATATGTATAACTCAATGTTTTAACTAATTGGAAAAGCTGAATAATCGTTCCAAACTTACTGATTAGTCTGCAAAACAATCGACGATTAGTCGATTAATCGTTCTAATAATCGTTAGATTAATCGATTATCAAAATAATCGTTTGTTGCAGCCCTAGTTGTAATTGACAGCTTCAGTGACTAATGGCAGCGATCTTTGCTCGCTTTGTGCATCTAACATATACATACATACACACATATATATTAGGGGTGGAACGGTACATGTATTCGTATTGAACCGAAACAGTACGGGCGTCACGGTTCGGTGCACGAATTTACACGGAGAATACACGGTATAAAAATAAATAAAACTCGCGTGCAAATTAATGTAATGCGGAACTACAGTTAGATACGCGGGTCCTTTAGGGACACGTACATAATCTGTACCAGCGGCTTAGCTCTGAACGCGCGTTCACTTCAAACGTTGGCTTTATACACACGTCCTATTCGCTTTGGCCTAGCGTCGAACTAGACGCGATAGACGCGAATTTAAAGCTCTATTCGCGTTTGGTGTGACCGCATAATAAACAGGCTGCGATGTCAAGATTGCAATGCTGGAGTGTGTGTGTGTGTGTGTGCGCGAGAGAGAGAGGGGCCCGGGCGCTATCGAACAGTGGAAACATAAAAAACATACTCTGTCATTTTGTTCATACAGATCATTAAACCTGCAAAGTGTTCACTTATATTTGTGTACACTCGCAATAAAACACAACATTGTGCTTTTGTCACACTGTAAATTCTTGTCAAACTGTAACCTACAACTGTCACCCAACCAAAATCACAAACACACACTGTTTTAAAAGCAAAACATATTTATCCAACTCCATTTCAAAACAGTCTGTGGTTCCCATCTTTTGGACATTCGTCATATTGCATTGGTTTCCATTTCTTGTCCTCGGAGCACTAATCTTACACATTCTACATTGATTAAAAAAGAAAATCGAATGCGTTTTTAATGGTAGTGCTTTTTTTAATTTTATACAGAAATCAATTATTTATAATTCAGATGAGAATAATGTTACATTGTTAATAATGTTAATTAAAATTAAGGAAAACAAATATATTGATCTGAAATATAGCAAAATAATTAAATTAATTCTGGTACAATTACCAAACATATCGCAAGGTCTTTTTGTCTTTTTATTAATTTAATTAATAAACTAATTATATTAAACTATTGTCAGTGCACTACAAATAAACTGGTTCTATGCCTTTATTAATAAAACTTATTTAAAAAATACAATGCCTTCTGCATTTTTGTTTTGCTTTTCCCTCCATTGTACCGAAATCGTACCGAACCGTGATGTCTGAACCGAACCGTGACTTCTGTGTACCGTTCCACCCCTAATATATATATATATATATATTCCATGCTGCTAACTACACATTGCAAAGTTTCTGGATTGACAACCATATTTAAATGCACGATTGAATCTGATTGACAATAACCATAGCAATAAATAGAACAAAACTCTCTGATAGTGTCAAATTTGGGAGTGTAAAATAGACCCGCCACTTTTTCTATGTTGTGTTACTTTGTTGTTAATTTCATTACTAACTTTTCAAATCAATTACTTTATATTTTTAAATATAAAATAGTTAAGCACTTTGTTAATGATCCGTTCTGACAGTGACTTTTATATTTCAGAATAAATAGGTTAGCATTAGCATAACTTTACAAACGGTATCTTTGCATTTATTTTGGATTTATTGCCAGTATTGGGCTTGCCGTTCACATGAGTAGGGTCTTTGTACTGTGTGTGGATGACCATGTTCATCCCAGGAAAAACACTGACTAAGACATACATGTATACAATGTTCATGGCGATTTCTGGTTTATGTAAACACTGACCCAAATCTGTACTTGTTCCTTCTCACCTTTTTCCTGGTCATTATAACAGGTAAGAGCAGGAATTTCTGCCTGGTATTCAAATCCCACCATGATCTCCTGTGAAAGTAACAAAATTAATAAAATATACACTCATCTTCAACAGGTTCACAACTTTGTCTGACACATAAACGATAGGACACAACCCATTTTAACTGCAAACTCTGATTAAAACAGTAAAAAGCTACTTGGTACTGTTTGACAAAGTTATTCACCTTGCGAGAGTCTTCAGGGTTCACACCATCATCCTCACCCTCAGATTCTTTGTCTCCATCATAAACCACATTAGCTGGAAAAGAACAATCAAAACTGAGCGTCACAGAAAATTAAATACTCAAATTAAAACTGGAGAAAAGGCCACACTTTCATCAGTGATATCAAACACACAAAACAACATCTATGTGCTTACAGCGAAGAGTTCTGGGGAAGAAATCATTGGTTTCGTGTGACGTCACAGATGGTGTGAGGTCATCGGCAGAAGACTGTGTTTCTTCATCGTCTCCAGAGAGCAAATCTTTAGCGATTTCTTCCTGTTACAAGACAAAAAGGCATTAACAACGTCAAAGGAAGAAATAAAGATTTTTTTTAAAAAAAATACATATATATACATATACATTTACTTTATCTAACGTCATGTCAGGCAGCTCATCGGTCAGCTCTACTGATGAGCTGTCCGCACTCGACTCTCCAACAGCGCTGTCTGCCGCTTCATATCTGTATAACGCTAGCAGCTCTTCCAGCGGCATGTTCCCCTCCTGTGAGAAAGAGATTTGCTTGAGATTAGAGCCCGACCGATATATCCGCCGATATTAGGCATTTATAATGGCCGATAAATGAAATTCTTTTTTAAATGCGGGTGCAGTGATTCATGTAAGGGTGGCGATGCCAATAAAGCACATAAAAGCTGTCACAAAGAACTGGCAAAAGTAATGATTGTGAATACATCAAATATAACAAGGAGACATTTTAATTGTTTATTAATAAACAAGTGTTTTCAGTCAGTGTCGCTGCAAAGTTGACGACGCTGACTCGCGATCTTCAGTGAACAGGCCAGAGAGAAATGCACATTTCATACTGATTACAGCAGAGAGCAGTCTGTCTTTCGTTTTGAATTGTTCTGTTTAAAAATAGACATTTCAATATATATATTTCTCAGGTCTATAGGCTGAGTTTCGGTTCATTTATTAGACGAGTTGCAGTTCACGCACCGGCGCCTCCGTGTCGAGATTATCTATTGTCCGCTATATTTACTTCTTATTTATTAAATCCAGGCAATCGGTTGATGAAACATTGATTAAAATTAAGATACAATTAATACAAAACGAAATTCACTTTAATGAAAGACTTTGTGCTTTCTGTTTGAGCGAGGTCTCTGCAGTTTTAAAGCACTTTAGTGCCTCTTTCAGAGCTTGTCACGTCCGTAACATTGTTTTTTCCTCATAAATGCGAACACGAAAAATAAAATAAAATAAATATTTTATGTTCTGTTGAGAGCCAACACTTTCCGGTTGGTAGTAACCTATTACTTTTGATTTGTGCAGTGTAATTCGAGGAATTGATTTCTCTGCTACGTTTTATCGTAGGTTTTGAACAACTCCATTTGACTTGACTTGGACAAAAACTACGATAAAACCTGTTGGAAACCATCTTTTGCAGTGATTTTTGTGTGAGCATATCAGTGAACACCCCAGACCACTCGGTGAGTTTCACGTCTTTGTAAACTAAAGTTTAATGCGTTTTAGGAAGGATTGTTTCTGTGCACCTATGCAACCATTGTGGAGGTGGGGGGGTGCAACCACAGAAACCGAAATTTCTCGGGACAGCACCATGTGTCCAAATTTAACCATTCTATTTCAACAGAAACGATCTTAAAACAGGGCTTCAAGTGTAAAATACCGAACTAGTCCTTTAACGACGTAAAAAGCACCCCCCAAAGCGCAAATATCTTGGCGAAAACTCAACGGACTCGGCGAGCACCAAACTCGTTGGAACCGTTCAGTGGAACTGGAAAGAACGATATAAGTATCAGAATTTTTGGTGGTGTTTTCGCAGAGATATTAGCCGAAAACCATCGGAAGCGCTTCAACCATAATCAGCATGAATAAAATGTTTATTGTAATGTTAGATGTCCCTCTAGTGGACAGAACGTGTAACAACAACCACATGCTATAGTGGCATTGGCGATCCATGAGCCTGAGTAATGTTGTAAATATTAATAGGATGAATTTGAGCATTTAATATTCGAATATTAGTACGAGATCACCTGCTCTACTAAATAAAAACACACAATCTACTATGGTTTACGAATGTTCCGCAAAGTTACAAACAAAAACGTGCTGCAAAAGCATCATGTTTACACGTGCGACGGTGGCGCTTTTTCGTACAAAAACTTGGTAAAGTCTGGTCTCTAACTGAAACAAATATGCTTGTTGTATTCTGCTAGCTGAGACCTTTCAACGATATATGACAATGATTTTACAGATCACATTTTCGTGTAAAGCATTATTATTATTTTTCACGCTATGAAAATAGAGCGTCAGCAAAATTAAGTGATGGTCATATTCCCTATATTCGCTGTAAAGCCAAGCTTCTAAGTTTCAATGACACCTATTTGGTTAAGCAACATGATAACTTGGTAGGTTAACGATTAATCCATTAATTGATCGTTGGAAATTTAATTGACATCCCTACCCTCAATATAAAAATTAGCATCCCTAAATGAGAGCGACATGTGTGTTGGGCAAAAGATTGAAGGCAAACCTTTTCCAGATCCGCAATCTCTGAGCTCCCGCTTGACTCGCCATCCCTCATCTCCTCTTCCTCTAACGTACGTTCATCATCATAATCGTGCACCAGCATGTCTGCCGTCGGGTCAAAATCGTGATCTTCCGATGACAAAGAGCCAACTGTAAAGATCAAATTAATCCATAATTATTAAATGCAAATATTAAATATTACATACACTTCAAAAATATTATTTAACCCAATTATACATTTATATTTATTACATGCATATATATATATATGTATACACACAAATATTGTATTAATAATATATAAGATTTGTAAGTAAACATTATTAAATAGATTTAGAAGACAAATTACCTGGGCTTGTACTTCCCAAGGAAGCCTGAAATTACAAAGAGAAAATGTGAGGTTTGGGGAATTTACAGCATTATGAAGAACACTGGTTAACTTCCCTTAACAAAATGTTACTATAGTACCCATAATTTCCACCAAATTACCATAGCTACAATTATTATTACTGTTGCAAACCCATATTAAATAGGCTTTACATGGGATTTACTTAAAAATGTGCAATAAGTTTTCAAAGTCTTTTAGTTTTTTTGTCCTGATGACAGTGGAGGCTAAAAAACTACCACAATTTAACTATTGTAACAGTAATGGTTTGAATATAATATTGGGATGAATAGTAATTCATATATGAATAATGATAGCCTGCTCTGCACAGACCAATGAAGATGAATAGAAAAAATGAATTGCCCAAACGTCATTGAATACAAAAAAATATATATGAATGGATAAAAATCATTCCTTAAAAGAATTAAAATAAAACAGTTGATTCCTCATTTGTACTTTTTAAATCCGCAGTTTACATTAGAAAATTATACAGAGTTTGTGAGGGTCACTAACAAGCCAAATAAATAGCCAATATTTATTCAGGTGTTCTAGGTCTCTTAAACAAAATACAGCTATGTTGAATTATAAAATAATTACATATTTTATTTTAAAATTGAACAAGAAAATGTTTTGATGTCGCCACTTCAAAGCATCAATTCGGTACTGCAGCAATAGGGGAAAATCACTCAATTACTCTCTAAAATCACACAGAAGTATACAGACGAAAAAACGGCAATAATAAAGACGTCAAAATATTTTTAAAAAGCGCAAAATAACAGAAAAAAGCATTTTCAGTACTAACTAACCATCGCAGCGCGCTCGACGCTACTCGCAGCTCCGCTCAGTCAGATCTGACGCCCGCTCTGAACGCTCGACGCTAAAAGAGGCCGATCGACGTTTAAAACACTCGTTTTGACGGCCAATATCGCACGTATCTCTGCCAAACCATCCTCTATTCAAAGATAAGGCATAACTACACGTAATCAGATATAGAAATCCCAAACTAATGTACTGTGGTAAAAGAAATAAGCGACAAAAATATGACGCCTTCCCCCAATTTTTCAACTTACCTCCGCCATCTTGGTACCTTTCGACTCTAAACTGGCTTTACGACGGAGCCCGGATTGAGGTTGCAAGCCAATCGCGATAGACTATTTCTGCAGGTTGGCTCTGATTGGCTGACGCGTTTAATACGCACGACGAGCAGGGCACAGGATTGGCTGCTAGGAGCGAGCTTGGTTGACGTCGAAATACTGTATTCCAATGAGTTTCATTACCTGAGCATTCATTAGGATGTTTTAAAATACATTAAATAAGTTGTGTTAAATGGATTTTTTTATTATTTTAAAAAGATATCGGATGAACTGACTGTTTTTTGTTACAGATTTTATCATTGTCGCATTCTAAGTTGGCAAATTGGCAGAAACTTCTTCAAGGAGTTTCTGGAAGGATTTTACTTCAATGAAAGATCGATTTTGTCTATTTGGAAACAAAGATCTAGGAAAGTATATTTATTTTAATGCATATATAGGTTATGCATATCTTTATAATTCTGCATCATACATCTGTTTCATATTAATATAAAGCAGATGGTGGCGCTAGTTGCACGTTAAACACAGTTTCTAAACTTATGCATCAAGTCAGTGTTGAAGACAAACTAGTGTGATACATTTACCATTTTCTTTTTTAAATTCTGTGAATGTAATATACATTTCCCCATTAGAGTTTGCACATAAGTCACATTTTTACATCCTAACTTATTTTATATAACTTACTTTATATGGAACAACATACAGTTTATTAGATTGTATTTATCATATATGGACTTTCTAAATCTTTTAATGGAAGTTTAAATTCAGTCTCCTTCCTGAGTGAGACGTTGGCTCGAAGTTCAACTTATCCCCGAAAGTGTAACATCGCTTTCCGTCTGTGTCATCCAAAGCATCACCTGTCAGTCCACCTGTACAGGTGAAACAAGATTGGGCAACACAAGAACAAGAAAGTTGAGTTGTCATTTGTCAGAGAAGGCTTCACTCTGACAGCATGCACTGGAGATGCAAGTTATCTCAATTGAGTCCATATCTACCACACTAAATGTGTGAAGATTCAGTGCACATTAGGAGGAAAATCAGTTTTAAATGCAGAATTCCCAACTTTCAACTGACTTTCATCGGATGACACTGCAGAAATGGAGATTGAATCAATGGTTGCAAACAGCGCACTCATAAGAGCACGAGAAGGTAAGAATATTTATTCACCTGTTTTTCCTTACATGTGATAAAAATGGATTTTTAAGAAAAAAAATAAAACATTCAATCAGTAAATAAAATACCGTTGTCATATTATGTGCTGAGATAAAACATTTTGAATGTGTTTTAACAGATTTTAGGAAAGGATTGTGAGTTGTTTTGTTTTGTTTCTTTGACATTAGTTAATGTGAAAAGTACAAAATTAAATGAAACTGATTCAAGCCTCAGACTGAAACATTTTATGGGTAGTTGAAATGCTTTTGTGTAGCTGACATGTCATGTGGTGTAACATCTAAAATAATTTTAAACAGTATTTTGTTGATTATTTGAAAATTATTATGCTTTTATGAGAGACTAAGCAATATAAGTATACTTTTAAAAACGTATTTCACTCTGCAGTTCATTTAATATGAATAAGTGAAGACAAAACAGTAATAAAAAACTCACATACTGGAACTTTGAACCTAATTTGATCCTAAAATCTTGATCTTTGTTTTAAAAAAGTCTAGATATACTGTACATGTCAACTTAAGTATATTTTATGCTTAAGGATTGCAAAGACTGTAATACCTAAACAAACGCTGGGCAAAACACGTTTTAATGTTCGCTTTAGTTCCCTTCTCTTCAGTGGCTGTGAGCAAAAGAAACAGCTCATTCAACATATTTGTCCTGCACCTCAAACCTGAAATACTCTGACCTCAAAACAAAACCAGACACACAAAGCCTTTGACATCATACGGGCCTTGCATCACAAACCGGTCTGACTTCTTTTGCTGCGGTTAACAGCCTGTCAGCAGTACCTGCTATTCCACTAATCTGAGCTCTAAAAATAGCTTTAGTTGCTGTTTCAAAATAAGTAAAACCTGTCATGTTTTGTCAACTTTTCAAGTGTTTTCAGCACTAACTGCCCAAGTGCACCCCAATAAGACTTTCTAGCATTATTATGAAGCTATACTTTTGCATGTTGTGTTTTTGTTTTCTGAATAGTACAGGTGTGGCGTCTCAAATCTGATCTCTGTCATCCTAGACTTAGAGCTTCATTCCTACTGCTATTTTTAGAGCAGTCTAATATAGTAGAGGATGCCATGGATTCTCTGCAGTTTTACTGTCAATAAACCGTCATTCAAACAAAACAGACGCTTACAAATACACAGATGTGATTAATAAAGCATCTATTTTTACACAAACACACACACACGTGATTAATAAAGCATCTATTTTTAGACACACACACACGCGCGCGCGCGCACACATTTCTTGTACCAGCATTGCATGTCTAACCTTTTGTCAACATAACCTTGATTGAATAATAAACATAAATCCTTCTAGTCCTGGTCCTAGCTGCATCAATAGTAATCAACAGCATTTTTTGATTTCTGAACATTTCAAGAGCGCACAATATGGATTGTTAAAGTACTTAAATGAGATTAAATAAAAAAATACATGCCCACATAAACACAATTATTAAATGTACTTGTTTGATTTGTAATTTCATGGAAACACAATTCCTGTGTTATTTCAACCAAATATCCTGTTTCAATAATAACAATAATTTCTGAATGGAATTTTAATGGACAATCATGCATTTCTGAACTTGATGGTTCATTTTTGGGTTCTTTAAAACACCAGAAGCAGGTTCTCATATTAGGCTGTAAAACTCTTTTTGGTTTAAACAGTTTTTCTCTTTCTTCCATTGTGCAGTAGGTAATGGTGCGAACCACAAAGGAAGGAGTCGAAAATGGAAGGAATTTCTGCGTTTTCCACACATAAACGAGTGCATACAGTTGGAGAGTAGCATTGGTGAGAAGGACAAAAGTTGCATTTTTAAATATTTTAATTGTGGACTTCATACACAGCAAATATGTCAATATTAGAAATGAATACTGTAAAGATAATATTCTCCTGTCATTTAAGATTTTTGCCTCTAATCACAGGAATGCACTGTATTATTTTCAATAAATCATGACTCATTCTGTTTTCCAGAGCGAGACTATTACAGTCTGTGTGTGAAACAGCCCATCGGAAATCAACTGTTCCGCCTTTTCTGTGCAACTAAATATGATCTGCAGCATTGTGTAATGCTCTTGGATGAAACGGTATTATCTTTTGTCTAATACTGGGTTTCCCATACTGGGGTTAGTGAGTTGATGAAAAGCTAATAATTAATTAAATCGAATGTTACATTCAATTAAATAAATAGGCCTGCACAATTAATCAAAATAAAACTGAAATAGCCATATATCTTATTAAATAGTAATCACCAAATCAAATTTTTAACGTTCCAATTTGTAACATTTGTAAATTTCACAAATAATTACAAAGAAATGGCAAGTAACACATTGAATTAAACATGAAATTTTGAAGTAGAAAGACTGTAATAATCTTTGTTTTATTTACAACTCTGAAAAATTATTAAAGTGTATTTGTCAGGCTAACATTTCGTGAAATGCAATTTGCTTGTTTATGTTAGTGAATGAATACTCTGTTTGTGCTCTCTCAGGTGGAATATGAGGTCACACCGGATGACAAGAGAACGAACTTTGGCAAGCAACTCATCACAAGATATCTCACCTCACAGGTCTTTACACACGCTTTTATTCCTTCCTCTCCACTTCCAATCTGATAATCAAAACTTCATATCTGCAGTTAGAAAACAGTACAAATTCTTGTTAGTGTTTCACATGAAAGAACCCAGCTAACAAAAATATTTTCTAAGAACGTTTAACGGAATGTTCTTTGAATGTTCAAAATGTTCTAACACTATTGGAACGTTATTTTCGAATGTTCTCTGAACGTTCTGAAATAAGTAGTAACATTTCAATAATCTTAGATGGATGCCCAACTGATAAAAAATAAACACGATCCATGTACGATGTGTTTTTGTGCTAACATTTTGAGAACATTATTAAAGACCAGATAACTTTGAAAGAACGTTCTATTAGAAGAAGAAGTTTTATTTATATAGCGCCTTTCTGTAGCTCAAGGTCGCTTTAAAGGTGCCTTGTGTAATGTCAGCCCAAAAAATCAATTCATACTCCACATTCCATACCAGATGGGGGCAGTATACCTCCAGAAAGTGAGTTGGTCTACTCTAGAGTAACAAACGAGAAACGGCATAGTCTCTATGCTCCGCCCCTACCTTCACAACGACCCTAGAGCCATAGCCGAAGCCGAGCCGACTCCCAATAGAGGAGGTTTTGACTCCAGAGGAACGTTGGTTGATGTCAAGTGATTTTTAAATATGACATCTTCAAGCTACTTTACCAGTGAATATGTTCATATTCGTTTTGTTCATATTACATTTTATTGTTAGTTTGAATTACATTAATTTGACAGACAGCATTCGCTGATGTTGACCAAGCTAGCGCCATTCAGAGCTGCCAACTCTCACGAATTCACCGTGAGACACACGCAATTGACACTTTTCACACGCTCTCACGCCACATATCAATTTTGTCACGCACAGAAAAATTGCAAAGCAAAGAGGACAGGGAGACCGAAAGACTAGACAGAGCAGGTTAGTTATGATATAAAAAAATCTCAGCTCTCAGATTCAGAATTTTATTACGAAATTCAAACAATAAATACCGTTTTGGCGCTTGTAAATGTTACACGACAGATCCCTAGCACACGTGAACCGAGCGCGGTTTTTTCCCTGCAGCGGGTGGTTGTGGTGGTGGTGGTAAGGGTCTCTTGCCAAGGGCTTCAGCCATTCTTCCGCTCTCTTCCCTGAACTGAAAGGTAGTAGTGGGCTGTACTTTCCACACGATTGACATCAGGGTTCAAGTACGCCCAAGCCGTGCGAGTTATTCGTGTTTTGCAGTTTGGCTAGTGGTTATGTTGCCCGCATACCGCCTCCCATGGCCGAAACTGGTATTGTGACACCTGTCGGGCCGTGGCTAGTAATTTAGCATGCTAATTCAGGTTGATATCTCTGCAGCACTATAACTTGTCATTTTTTTAATGACATCATCGCCCTTATTTCTTCTCATTCTTTATGAGATTCTTTCTAGCTCATTTTTTGGATATTTTTACCCCAATTCTTACACAAGGCACCTTTAAATTGTAATTTACGATACATTTAAACACTTACACAAACATTACAGTCACATAGGATACATACATAGCCTGGTTAAAACCAGACCATTCTCAGTTGTAACTGAGTTATGGTCTGGCAAAGCGTCCTAGACAAATCATTTCCAGAGGGGCGTCACCAACGGACGTCGCGGATAGACCTAAACCCAATCAGAGCGATGAAGGAGATGACGTATGCAGAGCGGCGGAGAAACATCTCCGAGTGTTGTTCTTTGCTCGGTTTTTAACAAAAGGGAAACGTTCAAATCGCTTAAAACAGACGCGATAGCTGATTGGAACGAGTGATGTTCAACGGCGGCATCCATCTTTGTAATGTAGGCTACAAAATCTGCTTCAAAATCCCAGCGCTGTCGTCATCGTGTAAAGCCCGCCCCAACGTTTCTGATTGGTGCCGCGATTTCGGCGGATTGGAAATGAGCTTGAATGAGCTCTTTGCCAGACTAACTTTCAGAGCAAATCTAAATTTGCCGGAAGTTGTCTGGGTTTTCCCAGGCTAATACATACAGTCACATTAAACGAAATACATGTTAAATAGATATGTTTTTAACTGAATTTTGAATGTAGCCACAGATTAGATATTTCAAAGAGTAAGGGGTAATGAATTCCATAATTTTGGAGCATTGACACTAAATGACCTTCCACCTACTGTAGACAACCGGAAACGGGGGATGGACAATAAACCAAGTTCAGCTGATCTGAGAGACCGTGCAGGGCGGTAGGTGTAAAGTAGATCAGACAAATATGGGGGTGCAAGACCGTTTAATGCCTTAAACGTTAGAAACAAAACCTTAAAGTGGGTTTACCTTAAAGCCACGGGTAGCCAGTGAAGGTCATGAAGCAGAGGAGTAATGTGAGCAGAACGCCTGGTGGAGGTGAGAACTCTTGCTGCTGAGTTTTGAACGTACTGTAATCTTCCAATACGTTTTTTGGGCAGACCAAGAAATAAAGCATTGCAATAATCTAGCCGTGATGTGATTAGTGCATGAATTAAGGTTTCAGCATCAGCTAAATTGAGGGAAGATCATAGACGAGCAATATTGCGAAGATGAAAGAAAGAGTTTTTTGACAAGAGAAGAAATATGAGAGCCAAAATAGAGTTGAGTCAAAGAAGACACCAAGGTTGCGAATCAATGACGAAAGTATGGAAGCTTGTTTCCGCCACTGAATAAATTTTTTTTTTTAAATAATTGCGACTTTTTATCTCACAATTGCTAGATATGAAGTCAGAATTGTGAGAAATAAAGTCGCAATTGCGAGATATAAAGTCGCAATTCTAAGCAATAAAGTCGCAATTATGAGAAATAAAGTCGCAGTTTACATCTCACAATTCTGACTTTATAACACATAATTGCGAGTTTATATCTTGAAATTCTGACATCTTTTCTCAGAATTGTGAGATATAAACTCGCAATTGCGAGTTATCAGGCCAATTCTAAGGAAAAAAAGAATTCCCCTAAGAATAGTTTATATATCGCAATTCTGACTTTATAACACGCAATTGCGACTTTATTTCACGCAATTCTGACTTTACAACATGCAATTGCGACTTTATATCAATCAATTCTGACTTTATAACACGCAATTGCGACTTTATATCTCACAATTCTGACTTTACAACACGCAATTGCGACTTTATATCAATCAATTCTGACTTTATACCTCGCAATTCTGACTTTATAACACGCAATTGCGACTTTATATCACGCAATTTTGACTTTATAACCTGCAATTGCGACTTTATAACAATCAATTCTGACTTTACATCTCGCAATTCTGACTTTATAACACGCAATTGCGATTTTATATCACTCAATTCTGAGAAATAAAGTCAGAATTGCGAGAAGTAAACTCGCAATTGTGAGATAAAAAGTCGCAATTACCTTTTTTATTTTTCATTCTGTGGCGGAAACAAGCTTCCATACGAAGGCTTAACATGAACTCCATCATATGTAACTATATAAAAGGACTGGTCCATCCTTTTGACTGAGGCAGCAGAGCCGATCACTAATATCTCCGTTTTTTTATCATTTAATTTGAGGAAATTAAGGGACATCCAGTGCTTGATGTCCCTGATACATGCAGTGAGTGAGTCAGGCAGGGATGGCCTATCTGAGATAAACCACCAGCTCTGATTAACGCTATTAACGTTACTGGAAGAACGTTTGTTCATAAGGCTGCGGGAACCTTGCCAGAACGTTCCGAGAACTTTCTCTGTTAGCTGGGAAAGCGTTTTCATGATGCTCGTGCATGTGTTCAGTCTTCTAGGGTGCGGGAGATTGTACACAGAGAACTCAAGGAGGAGAAAGCTACTGAAGATCTCTTCAGCAATTGCCAAAAGTCAGTTCCATGATCAATGCGTCTTTGTACATGTGTGTCTGTGAGCATTGATGTGTTGATGTGCTCGTCATTTATTGGGTCTTATAGGGCACTTCATGAGTATCTGAGCGGAGCTCCATTTGCAGAGTATCAGAAAAGCATGTACTTTGACCGATTCCTGCAGTGGAAGATGGTTGAGAGGTTAGTGTGGGCCAGATGTGGGATTTTTGAATCATTTTAAAGCAATGCTGTTTATGTTTCGAATGTGACGTCGCTTTCATTCCCACAGACGCCCAATCACCCGAGATACATTTCGAGAATACCGTGTTTTGGGAAAGGGTGGGTTTGGAGAGGTAAGACCACAATATACATCTATAAAGATTCCCAGCTAGATGTTTTACTCAATAGGACCATTTTTGCTTGAAGTAGAGGTAATCATGCCCACAGAAGCTTATATTAGATATGAAGATGAAAGTGTGGGAAGGTAACATGAAGCCTCTCATTATAGGTTTGTGCGTGTCAGGTCCGAGCATCAGGGAAAATGTATGCATGTAAGAAACTGGAGAAGAAACGTGTTAAGAAGCAAAGCGGGGAAGCCATGGCCCTCAATGAGAAACAGATTCTAGAACGGCTCAACAGCAGATTTGTGGTGAGAATTATGATTATTATCAGCAATCGTTTGACGGAAAAGTACATGCTTAAATGACTATTTCTGCTTGGGTGAAACTCACAAAACTGGTCAAGACATACCAAGGTCATATTTCACTCTGAAATCAAAAACATAAGATAGAAAGAAGATTGTATCTATATATATATACAGTATATACTATATTGTATGTATGTGTGTATATATATATTTCATGGTAGTATTTATTCTACAGTATAATGCAAGAATTATTTATATTTTTGAGGTAGTAAAAATCTATTTCTTTAAGCAAAACATAGTTTCTTTTTCTCTTATATACAGAACTGTGCAAAAGTCTTAGGCGCGTTAGTATTTTCACCAAAACAAATAAACAAGTATTTTAAGCCAGTTATTTATATCTTTTGCTGTAGTGTTTCAGTAGGAAATATCAGATTACATTTCCAAACATTCTTTTTGCCATAACTGTAATAATCCAGTAAGTCTGACAACAGCCGGTATGATCTGATCTCACCATCATCGAGTCCGTCTGTGATTACATGAAGAAACAGAAAAAAACCGAGACAGACTAAATCCAGAAGAACTGCAGCAACGTCTCCAAGACGCTTGAAGAAACTGACGTGCAAAGCTACCTGAAAAACTATGTGCAAGTGTACCTGGACAAAAGCTGTTTAAAACGCAAAGGGTGGTCAGACCAACCATATTAATCTGATTTAGTTAATAGAAGTTAATTGATAAATAAAATATATTAATGACATTATTTTTGAAAGCAATAAAAATAAACTGCCTTAAACGTTACACAGTACTGTAGCTTTGCTATTTTGCTATTTGCTATTTCCTACTGAAACACTACAGCAAAAGATATAAATAACTGGCTTAAAACTTTTTTTATTGGAAAAAATAATTACCGTGCATACGACTTTTGCACAGTACTGTATATGTTTACATCGTAATTATATTCATTGCACTGTAAATGTGACCGGTTTTGTGTAAATTGGCTGTCTGTGTGTTTATTTGAATATGTCAGGTGAGTTTAGCATATGCTTACGAGACAAAAGAGGCTCTTTGCCTGGTGCTGACGCTGTTGAACGGAGGAGACCTGAGGTTTCACATCTATAACATGGGCACAGAGGGGCTCAACAAAGACAGAGTACAGTTTTATGCAGCTGAGATCCTCTGCGGCCTGGACCATCTTCATAACAAATCCATTGTTTATAGGTAGGCCATAAAACTGAGAGCCATTGTTTGACTTTTAATGGGCTGGATGCAGTTACAGATTATATATAGTCACCTGACATACTCATGAGAAATCGAATTAAACAGATCTAGCTTCGCTCATAATTACATGTGTTTTGTTTTATTTCTATCAGGGATTTAAAGCCAGAAAACATTCTACTGGATGATAATGGTATGTGCACTTCCCCATTTGAAAAAAAAAAAAAGACGTTATAATAACTGCCTGTACAAGCTTTGTAGCATTCTCTTCAGGATGTAAAATTTCCCTTACTTTCTATTTTTAGCATAATCAACTCTCATAATCTTCACCAGGAAACATTTTTCCAAAATTGCTTTTGTTATCATAAACAAGGAAATTAAAGCATGAAAGCAAGTGGGTTGCATAGAAAACTTTTACTTTTGTTGCGTTTGACATCATTAACTATCCTACTTTTAAAAATAGTGACCTCAAAAAGTTTTTGGACATCATGGTTACAAAAGTGCGAATGCTGTCGCATAAGATAAAATGTGTTTATCTGCGCTTAAAGGTGCAAAACGCAAGTCTCTGAGTTTTTGCAGAACTACGCCCCCTCTGGCGACAAGCGAAACTGCAACCAGAGTTGTGCACGCTCATGGACCACACGCATCTTTTATTGGATATGCTTTATGTTTCATGTTGTACTATTCTTCCGAACACAATTCCTAGTTTATGAAACTGTTCACTAGCAATGGTAGTAAACCCAATTCTGATTGTACATGTATCTAGCTTACGCTAAAGCATTACACATTTTACGCATCGTCATTTGTTGTCATACATAGATTGGCCGTATCAAACATTAGAGACTGGGCTATATCTTACCGTTTTATCAAGAAAAAAGCCAACTGAGATCCCGTTTGAGACCAAGAGCAGACCGGAGATCTCTCCATTTGTTGAATGCCTTCCCGAGGTTGACTCTCGTTTTACTCCGACGCCTGTCTGACTCCAATTTGGCCCTTTTAGTGGCACTAGACAAAATTTTTCTTTTTTTTTACTTTACGTGGAGTTTGCGTTGGGGTTTGGACTGGACTACAAGCCGGTCTCTTTGAATCCATCTTCTACCTTTGACGCACGAGTTGTCTTCGCTGATGCGGAGAATGGCGGCGCCGCCGAATACACAAACCTGCGAGACATAGCCTGGTGAGCGTGAACGCTCCTGACGTCACGCCCAGTCTCAAATTAGAGCCCGAATCCCTCTTATATATTTTACTGTACAGGATTATAGAGGCAATCTCAGTAAGCAGAGAAGGGCTCATTCAGCCCATCAGGTAGTTCTTCAAGCATGTATAGGATAGAAAAACAGGTATTTTTAACATGAAAAGTTGCGCAATGCACCTTTAAATTCTGAAGGATCTTTGTCAAATGTTTTGGTGAAAGTGTATATACAAATACATTTTGGGACCACTATATGTAGGATTCCCGTTTCTTACATTTCATTTTAGAAGACGCTTTTTTTCCTCCCAGGTATTCAGTAAGGAAGCTTGGATCAGGAAAATAGTTCTCAGTGGTTTAAAAACTGTGAAAAGTTCCTTTTGCTGTTAAATAATGTCCCTGTATCTGACAGGTCACATTCGGATCTCTGATTTGGGACTCGCCGTAATCTTGCCAGAAGAAAAACACGTGAAGGGAAGAGTGGGAACTGTGGGTTACATGGGTATGAAAATCATCTTCATAGATATTCAGCATAACAGCAGTTTTAGTAATTCGTATCAGACATTTAAAAATATTATATACACTACTACACCAATCAAAAGTTTGTGGTCAGTAAGATTTTTTTTTTAAAATTTAAAGAAGTCTCTTATTCGCTTATTTATTTGAACACAAATACAGTAAAAACAGTAATATTGTGAAATAATATTAACATTTAAAATAACTATTTTCTATGTGAATATATTGTAAACTGTAATTTATTCCTGTGATCAAAGCTGAATTTTCAGCATCATTACTCCAGTCTTCAGTGTCACATGATCCTTCAGAAATCACTCTAATATGATGATTTGCTGCTCAAGAAACATTTCTTATTATCGTCAATGTTGAAAACAGTTGTGCTGCTTCATATTTAAACAATCATAAAAAAAATCTGGATTCTTTGATGAATAGAAAGTTTAAAAGAGCAGCATTTACTTGAAATAGAAATGTTTTGAAACATTATAAATGTCTTTACTGTCACTTTTGATCAATTTAATGTATCCTTGCTGAATATATATATTAATATCTTTTTTTTTTTTTTATCTTACTGACCCCAAACCTTTGAACAGTAATATATATATTTATTATAGAAAACAAGGCCTTTTTTTTTTTTAGAATCATTAAGATTTTAATTCTGACTATTTCAAAATTTAACATGAATATGCCCAGGTGTTTCACTTTTTAGATTGTTATATATCTTTTTAATTCAGCACAAATTCAGAATGACAAATTAAACGATAGTGTATAGATGCTTTACAGATTAATAAAATATTATGAGAATGAGTTTGCTTGGATTTAAGGTAATAATAACTAGTAGAACATGTTTAATTATTATTAAAATAATGTCACAATGCAAAAAAAGAAAGAAAAGAAATTAAAATTATTTTTATATCCCTGATATTTTTCACATCGCCAGCACCAGAAGTCATCACAAACACATACTATAGTTTTAGTGCAGACTGGTGGGGACTCGGGTGTCTAATCTACGAGATGACGGCCGGAAAACCTCCGTTCCGCAACCTCAAGGAACGGCTGCCTAGACATGAGATGGAAAGAAGAGTTCTGGAGACGATCGAGCATTACGGAAATAAGTTTGACGAGGACACTTCATCCATCTGCAAAAGTGTAAGGACACATTTTACAGTGCTCTGCTGAATAAGTGCAATTTTCTTCTGAGTTCACTGATTTGATCTGATCTAATCTAGGTCTTATTGTCCATTCAAAGGGAATATTATACATTTTTCGAATTGCTTTTCAATTTAGCTCCTGGCTAAAAACCCAAAGGAGCGACTGGGCTGCAAGTTCAGGCAAGGAGCAGAGGTCATCAAAGGTCATTCGTTCTTTAAAAACATCAACTTTACGAGACTTGAGGCTGGAAGGATGCCGCCAACTTTTGTCCCTGACGTGAGTGTCTGTTTCTCACCTGAAATCAATCCTGTGATGTTCATTTTCTCATCAGATTTTCTTCTCTCCACCAGCCGAGAGCCGTTTACTGCGCGGACATCCTGGACATCGATCAGTTCTCTACGGTTAAAGGAGTGATCCTTGATCAGGTCGATGATAATTTCTACAGCAAGTTTAACACAGGTAGTGTGCCTGTGCCCTGGCAGAATGAGGTAGGGAAGAAACCTAAAGAAAAGCAATGTATATTTATGGTCAACTGTTCATATATGCATTTATAAAATCCATCTAGATGATTGAGACAGAGTGTTTCAAGGACCTGAATGTTTTTGGGCCACGAGGAACAAGAACACCCGATCTCGACCGCAACGCGGTGATCCTGCAGAACGGCTTGGAGACTCAGTTCTCCAATCATAGTCCTACAGAATACACTCGACACCGGCTGCTGGACAGAATCTTCAAGAGACGAGTAAGGAGCCCTAAATGACACAATTCCACTTCATTACCCTGTTACAGTGACTACTCTATGACTAACTATGACAGTGCTTTGATTAACAGAATATTCCAGGTCATTTACAATTTAAAGTCGGCATGAAACGGAAGTTGCAATAGTCTTTTCTTCCCTGTTGTGATGTATATGCAAGTGAAACGTATAGAAGCTTGTCTACGCCACAGAGTAAAAAATAAAAAAGGTAATTGTGAGGTTTTATCTCATAATTCGTACTTTTTTTCTTGCAACTGCGAGTTTACATCTCGCAATTCTGACTTTATTCTCAGAATTGCATGGTACAAACTCGCAATTGCAAGAAAAAAGTCAGAATTACATGATATATTCGCATTTGCATGTGATTAAGTCAGAATTGCGTGAAATAAACTCACAATTACGAGTTATAACGTGAGAATTATGCAATATGAACTCGCAATTGTGAGTTATAGACAGATTTGCATGATATAAATTCGCAATTGCGCGTTATAAAGTCAGATTTGCAAGATATAAAATCGCGATTTTTTCCCTCAGGATTGGACTTTATAACTCGCAATTGCGAGTTTATATCTTACAATTCTAAGAAAAGAAGTCAGAATTGCGAGTTATACTTGAGTTCTGACTTTATAACACGCAATTGCAACTTTATATCACGCAATTCTGACTTCACATAATTATAACTTTAAATCTCGCAATTCTGACTTTATATCTCGCAATTGCGAGTTTATATCTTGCAATTGCAAGTTTATCTCACGCAATTGCGAGTTTATATCACGGAATTGCGGATTTATATCTTGCAATTCTGACTTTATATCTCAAAATTGCGAGTTTATTGAGAGAAAAAGTCAGAGCTGCGATATGTAAACTCGCAATTGTGAGATTAAAAATCGCAATTATATTTTAAAATTGTTTTATTCTGTGGCGGAAACAAGCTTCCATAGAAACGGCTTCTCCTACAAGTACATTTTTTAGGGCCAGACTTGATTTTGTCCATCTGGAGTTCACTGGGTGGTTTGCTATTGGTGGATATCATATGAGTGACAGGTTGCCCCGCCCTCACGCCAGTAAACACGTCATCAGAGAAAAGAAAAGATGTCACTGCAAGAGGGAGGGGGAAGTTATTTTGATTACGAGGCTCCAAAAATAGCTGCATTTGTAAATGACATGACAAACATGAAGCATCTGTTGAAGATTTACAGATAAGCTGTCAATTTATTTACAAGCATTTCCCACATGAAAGCAGGTTATTCATCGTACTGAAAAATCTCATATTCACTTCAGTTTAAACAGGCCAGGCTCTGGTCTCCCTAAGGCGGTATGCATTTCAGCTTTACCGCATTGAATGAAGAACTTAATTATTGAACGTTAATAAAGTACTTTAAGCACTGATGTGTGTGTAGTGGGCTATAAATACATTCCTAGACATCACATTCACCATGTTGACATTGGTCTTTAACTTACGACGTAACTTATAAAGTTAACGTTAGCCTGCTAACAACCGCAAAAATAATTTACTTGTGTTTAAAACGACTTTCAGCAAAATTATGACCTAACGTACTTACAAAAGATCCGCCCACATAAACATACAAATTAAAATATACGTTAACATTTCTGCGAATAATATTTTAACCGTTTCCAACCACGCAGCTTTCTGGTGGTCAACGCGTCGAATCCGTCAAAAGTTTTGCGAATTTGCGTTGGAAAATCTTTCGCCCTCAAGCGTGGATTACTATTTTAATGACTTTATTAAATTCGCCAAACAACGGTAAAAGTCATATGTCACATTAAGTCATAATTTTACCCTGATAATCAATCGAGTTCTCCGTGAGTTGTATTTTAAATCAGTCTAGTCCGATCTGATCGATCCGTGAATAAATCTCGTGAATCGGATCAACCGATTCATCAAAAAGATCCAATTCAAAAATAACGGTTAAATAATAAAATACAACATTTCTACTTCCCTCACGAACTGGCCAATTGAACCAGAGATGTCATTTTCATTCAATAACCTGGAATATTAATGTAATTTACATATAAAATGCAATGTGGGAATGACAATAAAAACGCCTTTTATTTTTTATCTCTATTGTTGTAGAACAGGGGTCTGGGTCAGGAGGCTGAACCAATATATCGCTCCTCATCTGCAGAAGAGCTGTAAGGACTGAAAAGAAAGAAGAAAAAAGTACTTTTTATCCTCATTTTTTTATTCTTTTAAAAGAAACTATGGCTTCATCACTGGAGAGGTTATTCAAAGAGTCATTGTTAAATACTGAAAAGATATTGTGTAGCACTACATTTACTGTCACAAACCCTACCATCTGCAAGGTTTGGGAATAATTTTCATACTTTCATAATACAAAAAAAGATTTTAAGATACTTTGTATGCTCAATTTGTAAATAAAAGAGAAAGTCATTGTGAAAATTGTGTTTGCTTGTTGCATAAATTAAATATTGAATTTTAACAGTGTAGAAATATCACAAAACATACATGTATGAAAACATGGTTAAAGTCTTAAGAGTAACTTTATTAAAACAAGTTTGTGTATAAAACATGGTTTACAAAAAAAGATATTTTACACCTATCTGAATGACTACAAACCAATTAACAAATAAACAACAGATAAAAAACCATGAATGGAAACACATGACCTCTGAGAACACACTCAGGTCAAACACACAACTGAACGTCTGCCTTTAACAGGTTAATGTGCTTTAAGGGTAAAAACACCACTGATGCAGTTCACTAATAAGGATGCTGTAAAAGGAAATGAAATGACTGATACCAAGATAGATCTGCGGTATGAGGAAATGTAACGAAACATTAACTTCTTGCATAAGACACACCACCCCAAATACATCATAATCTAACTGGATTCATCTATCAACATCATGCTCTGGTGCACTATGATATTTCATAAAAAGAAAACTGAAGTATGAGACATGCATGTTGATTTCTATGAGAAAACCCTTCTCAATCCTGCATGAAAAACAAGGGACGGGTACAACTGCAACCGATACAAAACAGATGATTTAATCAAATATATTCGACATTTCTTGGTCATAGAGAATGGTACATGAAAAGCATGACGGAATAGTTTTCAGATACATGGGCTATGAATATGGCATCCATATCAGTCAGTCTGTGTTCTCAGACAGTGTCGGTCTTCAACCTTCCCACGGTGGGCTCCGCCGGCCGTCTACGTCTGTCTCCACGTGGTACAGCATGTCTGCCAGCGTGTGTTCAATGACTGCACCCCAACCCATGTCACTCATCTGAGGATTCACGACAAAACCACAATCATCACCATGACAACAGTGAAAAACAACATGGTACAATAGTTCAAAACATTGCAGATCATTGTACTTTAACTGTATGTAACGCAGAATTTAATACTGGGAATTATAACTAAAGAAATATTGATATTTAAATACATGCACTGAAATTAAGAGATTTCTGAAGGATCATGTGACACTGAAGACTGGAGTAATGATGCTGAAAATTCAGCTTTTATCATAGGAATAAATGACATTAGAAAACAGTTATTTGAAATTGTCACTGGAAGTATTTTTTATGTAGTTCAAGCATAATTGAATTAGCACGTCCCTGATATTGAGCTAGTTAAATAGCTCCGCGCTTCTCACGCGTTCATCATGCAGGGCTGCCTGTCCGTGATCACGAATCATCCACTCACGCCTCTTTTTTATCAGGTTTTTCCTGCTTTCCCCTGCATTCAGTAGTGCCATTTTGTTCTGGCTTAGTCAGCACATAAAGGCCAATGTTTTGTAATAGCACCATGCTACTCGTACAAAATGTAGTTATTGTTTAATTCAAGACCAGTGTTTATTTTCACATACTTTCCAGTCCTTGAATCCATGTGTCTGAAATTTAAGTACTTTTTCAAGAAGTGTGGGAACCCTGAAGCACACGCTTCCCTAGAATGCCATTCTATGATTCATGCTACGTCTGTCATCCGTAGTATTAATGTCTTCGCTAGAAATAAAGGGCCAAAGCCGTTAATAATAAGGTGTAGTACAAAGTCCACCTGCTTTCAATCATACAATGCATCCGTCTCAGTTTAAAACGAACCATCATTTTGGTATCGCAATTATTTAATGGGCTGTTAACAAAATATCATCTATAACATAACTCAGAGCCCTAATAGAAATATGCCTTTATTTTGGCAATTACCCATAGGAATATATATATATATCAATCAGTACTAATAGGAAAGGTATTCAAGTGTGATTTCATACTTACTGGCTGATATGTGATGTCTTTTGGTGGGTATTTAAAGTGTGGTCCGAAATTAACAGACACCTGGAAAGAGGAAACAGCATTAACAATGGTATGGGCCCATTGGTTTTGGTTCATAGATGTGCAACACGCTCTTTTCAATTGCATCATCTCCACATCATTCATACAGCACCATCTAGAGTATATACAGAGTAACTAATGACAGTTTTATGATACACACTTTAAAAAGGCACACTATGCAGGAATTCCGTTTTTGTCAAACAGCGACCCCTAGAGTCGCTGTGGAGTACTTGTATTTAACGTTACTGTCGTAAATACCACTCACGCACTCAAGGCCTGATACCCCTTTGAAGCTGTTATATTAAGGTACAAATTTTGCATACTGTGCCTTTAAATAAGAGATCTAGCGCTAAAATGTGTTTTTGAACTCAAGCTGAGCGCTCGTGTCCGCTGCTATCAGTGTCATGGATACTGTGTTCTCTTGTGGCGCGCGCAGTCTTCACTCGGACGCGCTCTTTAATCTATCGCCGTTGTGGAGACTCTCTATTCATTCCGGTGAAATCACAAAATAAAATGCACACAAACGTTTCCCTGCTTGATATAGACTGTAACCACTGATGAACATATTCAGTTTTGATGAGAGAAAAAAAAACTTAGAACCTGCAACATCTGACACGCTTGGAAAAAGATTACCACTAGAACATTAAAGAACTCAAACAAAACTTGCGGATCGATGCATTTATTTACGGGTTGAGAGGCTCATTCTCTTTTCCTTTTCCTAGTCTCTTCCCACTGTGTTTTCTTTGCTTTTTCCATCGTCGAGTATCATCAGTATTAAAGACTTTTAAAATCATTTACCTCAAAACTCACTTACATGATCCGATGTGGATTCTGATCACCGTATATGGTAGAAATATTGCAAATGCAAAAGACTATGCACGCTAACTATTACCATAGTACTAAACATGGTAAATATGAACGCTTGAAGAAATTAGACAAAAATCATAAAGGCTATCACAATCATGTTTTTATTTTATCTGCCTACGTCTTGTCTCTTTATACCGGACTATCATAAAATAAAGCAAAACATTTTTCAGGAGCTTCCTCTGTTTCTCTGACTGAAAATATAACTGTAGCTTAACTGGGAGAGAGTGCTGAAGCTCATCAGGCCGTATTTTGGGTGGCATATTTGTAGAAATTATCATTTTTCTAAATGTGATGTAAACAGGGTGCGATTTGTGAAAAAAACAGAGGGGGGGATGTTTTGAAAAAGTTGTATTCATAAAAATAAATCATGAGAACATGAACTTCATCACTGCATTTGCAGGAATTGTAAAATCTTTTTTCTTATTAACTCATGAAGTAGCCTAACGCAATATTTTTACTCTAATAGCTTATATGAACTGTGATCACGCACAACGAAAAAACACGCAAGAATTAAATCCCCCTCCCAGTAGCTACCATGGATAGTGCCACTCGGCTTGACATGTCAAAACACTTATTTATGAATGGCAAAATTAAATGGCACAACGTAGTGTCAACTTAAACATAAATAGGCTATAGTGTAGGCCTTTGCATCATACTAGGAAAACGGTCTTTTTCTGCTTTCCTGTGGGAAAATCCGCAGCTTTCCAGTGGGTGGTCCATTTCGGATTTTATTGTTCTATCGCACTGACAGTTCACGTTACAGCGCTTTACTTAGTTTAGGCTAGGCTACTTCTATCAGTCTGCTGAACCATGGATTGATTGCAAAGTTAAACCATCACAGTAGAAACAGTTGTACTGCTGTTAAAAGTAACAACGTTAACGTTACATCGCGATGCTGAGCTACAGTGAAATGATAGAAAAGACAGATGCATTATCTGTGTCAATTCACGTCTACCGCGCCGCGCTAAACGCCTCAGTCTCGCAAGTGTTGATAGGCTATTACTCGTGAGGAGTAACCAATCAGATAGCGCCCAATCAGATGGGCGGGGCATTGAGCAAGTCTGCAGAGAGGTGATTACAGAGGCTGCGGCCGCTATACCAGAGCCAGCCGAAGGAGCGCATTTTTAAATAAAATTGACTTTAATCAAACCACGGACTCGTGATAAGTTTTGTGATCCGTCTCGCCACTAGTGTAGTAGCACTGATCACTTTGAGGGGGGGACAAAAATTATTTAAAAATAATTAAGCAGAGGCAGGGATACTTTGACCAGAAAGGGGGAAATCCCCTTTAAGGGGGAAATCCCCCCCCCCCCCCCCCCCCTAATGACTAATGTGCAATTTTGACCCAAATTAATTCATTATGATCAATGTATCAGTTTTGATTATAAACCTGTGGTAAAACATCGATTCTTGGGTTTTAAATATTCAAGTAAACTACAAAAATGCCAGCAAACGGTCGCTTTTATCATGTTTGTTTTGCGATCACGCTGTTTCCAGTGATTTCTTTCTGGTTAGTTTCCTGAAAAAACTTCCATTTGTTGGTGAAATGAAGGGTTTGTGTGACGTTGTTCCAGAGAGGCGTGTTACGGGCGTGTTTTAGTGAAGCGCTGTGGAGCATCTGGCCCGACAGTGGAAACGAAGTGGGTTTTGGGCTCGGTGCTACAGGCTTTTAGCCCGTTTAAAGCCCTGGCTCGCACTGGCCTGACAGTGGAAACGAGGCTATTATGTGGGCCGAATCAAAACGAGGACATGAACTGTGATGCCGTGAAAATGAATCACCCACAGACAGAGTTACAAATAGAAAGCACAAATTTAAAAGATTTGGGGTCAGTGAGTTTTGAATTTTAAAAAAAAATATTAATATTTTTATTCTGTATATATATATGCATTAAATTGACAGTAAAGACATTTATAAATGTTACAAAAGATTAAATTAAATGCTGTTCTTTTGAACTTTCTATTCATAAAAGAATCCTGAAAAAATTTTATCAGTTTCCACAACAATCTGACGCAGCACAATTGTTTTCAACATTTATAAATCAAAAAAATGTTTCTTGAGCAGCAAATCATATTAGAGTGATTTCTGAAGGATCATGTGACACTGAAGACTGGAGTAATGATGCTGAAAATTCAGCTTTGATCACAGGAATAAATTACATATATTACAATAGAAAACAGTTATATGAAATTGTAATAATATTTCCATATATTACTGTTTTTACTGTATTTTTTTAATCAAATTAATGCAGCCTTGGAGAGCAGAAGAGACTTTCAAAAACGATTAAAATCTTTTCGACCCCAAACTTGTGATTGTGCATAATCAAAAGCAAGATCCTCAATAAGATGAACGTTATAACATGCACAAAGTAAATCAAAGAGCTGTATACATATTTTTTTTTTTGTCTTGATTTACTCCCAATAAAGGGAAAATCTGACTTTTTTAGGGTACATTTGGAAGACAACACTGTTCTAAAAACTGAAAAGTTTTGCATACAGACGACAACGTTTTGTCAAAACGATCCCCGTTCACCCGGAAACGACTGAAAACGCTGTATTATGCATGCCAGGCCAGTAGCTGGCGATGTAAGAAATACTACACACATAAGCATTTTCTACTGAGTGGTGAACACAAACAATAAATAATGCGTCCCTGCTGTCGTAGTAGTGGTATTGATGTAGTAAATCTACACTTTGCTGGAGAAGAGTTAATAAATTCAGTATCTTGAGCAGCACAAACACAGTCCTGTAGTGCGCCATTGTTGTTTTGGCTGTCAAGTACTCGCGTATGCCTATAGACTGAACACGTAATACGCATGACGTCATAAAACGGAAGAAGTTTTTGTAGGCGGAGACGAAGATTTTATCGTTTTCAAAAACTTGCACTTAGAAGCCTTTTTCAAAAGTTAGCATTTTCAGGCCCCCAAAACGCCATTGTAGTGTAAACAAAAGACCAAAAAACATTTTTGGTTGAAAAGGGCCATACCGTGCAGCTCTTGTAGAGGGATATGGCGGGGTAGTACATCCCCTCAAACAGATTCTCATAGGCCACACCTTGATTCGCTCCGTTCTTGAAAAATATCATCTAAAAACAAACACATGAGACATCAATGATGACATCATAATGCAATATTTTGAATGCATCAATACAATGCAATGAAACACTCACTCGGCTGATACTGGTGGGTTTTAAATTCTTCTCGGCCTTGTCCACGTAATCTTTCTCTTCAAAGTACAAGTAGCTTTTGAATTTGATCAGCGCCTTTGAGGAGAATCAACAATATTATCACTTAAGATGACATTAGAGAATTCATTTTATCCTTCAGGAGAGCGCTAGCACATAGATGACCTCCAAGCCGAATCATACCAGAATGTTTTTTAAAAAATAAGTAAAAGAACAAACTATTCAGTTTGTTCATACCTTGTCCTTGTACGTGTCAGGCAGAGCCTTGGCGGTTTCGGTCTCGTCTGGAAGCTGGATGAAAAAGCCCAAGATGTCGCCCTGACCGTAGCCGTCAGAGTAATGCTTTCCGATGGACTGATGGAAGCGTGTTCCTTTCTTACTGCGCCACGAGTAGCTGAACTTATCATAACCCAGAGGAGCTTGAAGGTTTCCTGGGATAAAAGACATATGATGAACACTGTAAATACACAGAGTATATTGCAGTATGAGTCGCACCAAGTCAAAATTGCATTGTTGAGAGAGAGAGAAAACACACACACACACACACACACACACACACAGAGGTAAATCACATCTAAAATAGTTCCCCTAACTCCACAACAAATTATTTAAATTTAATGGTACAGAAGTGAAATGAATTTAATAAGTCCTTTTTTTTTTTTTAAGAGCTTACATTTATTTAATGCAAATCTGAATACTTGAGCAGCAAATCATCATATTAGAGTGATTTCTGAAGGATCATGTGACACTGAAGACTGGAGTAATGATGCTGAAAATTCAGCTTTGATCACAGGAATAAATTACATTTTATTATTTTGAATTGTAATAATATTTCACAATATTACGTTTTTTACTGTATTTTCGATCAAATAAATTATTCCAAACTTTTGACCAGTAGTGTACCTCTCACATTCAGCACAAATCTAAATATATTTAGCATATTTGTATGCTTGCGTTTAATTGCATTTTACAAGTCGCAGCACATTTCAGATGATAAAAAACAGGATTTTTTTTTTTTTTTAAATACGGTAAGCTTCTGTAACTGTGAAGCGTTGTTACAGTTACAGACCTAAAGGCTGCGACCAGCCCAGCCGAGCCGCAGTGTCCGGAGGCATCTCGTCCACAGTGACCTCAAAATACCACGAGCCCTTTCTGACCCCATGAGACGCTCGGACCATCGAGTAGCCCTTCTCTCCGGTCACCGTCAAGCGGTCGTCTGAAATCTTTAACTGTGGAGCTGAAACAGTCAAAAAGAGATAGTAAACCATGGTGGTTTACAAGCACAAGGTTTGTTTTGATTGGCTGTTCTGGGGTGTGTTTCCCGTACAACGACGTAACTCACTGCTAAACTACCGTAGTACGATGCATCGTTGAAGAAATCAACTAGCTAGTCACGACTGTTTCCCGAAACCGTATTGTCACAAATTGGTCGTCAACTACATTGGTTTATGATGTCACGCAGGTGGTGGAGTAATAACTCTTTTTAATGAATCTGTTTGAGATTGAATTAATGCTAGATGTTTTGCTATACAGACATGGCCTCTGAGGACTATCTCTTGTTTTTCTCAGTTATTTTGCTTTATTTCCAGATTCAATCATAGGCTCGTTCTTGCGTACTAGAGCACATTTACACATGAGCACTCTTCAAAAACGGTGCTTTAAATCTCTTGACAAACTAAAAGACGTAAATGACATTTGTATGTATTCTAAATAAAACACACAGGTTGTACTGAATGTCAGCTTGCTTATTTGGCTCAAAAAAAGGATTTATTGAGTCCACATGTCATGCAAACTAGAAACTGCTTCTAAACACAGATCGAGAGCTGTCGTTCCAAACACACAAGTTTGCGAATGTTCGTTAGAACGATGGTTTCGGGAAACACCGACTCGTGGAACTATGCTGATAACGACGGAACTTGCGACCATAGTTGGCTAACGATGCTTTTGGGAAACGCACCCCTGGATGACACATGTACCTCTGTCGTGCAGCGCCAGCAGCACGCGCTCATACAGACACGCGCGGTACAGGTCTCCAGGGATGGGCTTCCCGGCCCAGCAGTCCAGCTCCAGTTTCTCCGGGTCAGGAGCGTGAGGATCCGGCTCGGCTAGGATGTAGCGATACCCATCCTTGTTGAAGGGGTGCTCAAGAGGGTAACCATGAGGTGGCAGGCGCTGCGCTGAGAACAGCGGGTCACTAAAACAGAGTAATGTTTTGCTCCGATCAGCATTTACAAAACAGATAGGGTGAATTTTCATTTCATGTCGACTTTAAAGAATTAGTTCACTTCAGAATTAAAATTTCCTGATAATTTACTCACCCCCACGTCATCCAAGATGTTCATGTCTTTCTTCAGTCAAAAATAAATTAAGGTTTTTGAGGGAAAAATTCCAGGATTTTTCTCCATATAGTGACTTCAACGGTTATCAATGGGTTGAAGGTCCAAATTACAATTCAATGCAGCTTCAAAGAGCTCTACATGATCCCAGCTAAGGAATAAGAGTCTTATCTAGCCAAACCATCGCTCATTTAAAAAATCAATCAATAATTATATACTTTTTAACCACAAATGCTCATCTTGCACCAGCTGTGATGCGCCACACATTACGTAATCACGTTGAAAGGTCAAGTGTGACGAAGGGTGGAAGTACCAACCTAGTGTTTACAAAGCGAACGTGCAAAGACCAAGTCAAACGCTATTTACATAAAAATTTTAACAAATAAAAGGTAAAAAGTTGGAGGAGAAAATGAGAGTTTCCATCTACGTCAGGTTACCGCCTGACCTTTCCAGCGTGATTACGTAATGCGTGAAGTCGCGGACGTGCAAGACGAGCATTTATGGTTAAAAAGTATATAAATGTTTAATTTTTTTAGAAAATGACCGATGTTATACGCTAGATAAGACACTTATTCCTTGGCTGGGATCATGTAGAGCCATTTGAAGCTGCATTAGAGGTCTGCTACCCGAAAAACTCACGGGTTTCGGGTCGGGTTCGGGTTAATGTTTAATGAATAGCCTCGGGTTCGGGTCGGGTTTGTAACTTAGAAAAACAATATAGGCTGTACATATATATAGTTTGTGTGCCGCTTGGCTGCTTGTTGTATTGTGATCGTAATTATATGAGCACACGAGAGAGAAAGTAGCCTATGTGACCAGTTTCAGCCGTCCTCCTCTGATTGCGGTGTTGTGACCGAAATAGTGCGAGCACATGCGCAAAACAGTTGTGTAAAATGATACATGAACCATTTTTATTTAATCATATCATTTTACAAAATGCACTATTTCATTCACAACACCACAATCAGAGGACAGCGCTGAAACCATCAGCTGTCGATGCTGTTCTCTTCCTTCATAACTCGTACTAAAAACGATAGGCTATATTTATGTAAATAGTTAGTTAGTTAAGCTTTATTATCCCACATGGGGCAATTAAGTTTACAGCCACCAGTCATATACAACATACCATCGACACAAAACAAAGAACACATTCTAAAACAATACATTAAATATACTCATACACTCATTCATTTAAAAGACTAATCGCTCTGGGGATCATGGACTTCTTAAACCTGTTGGTGTTACCCCGTGGAACTTTATAACGGCGCCCGGAAGGAAGCAGTAAAAACTCTTGGCACAACGGATGAGATGGGTCAGCAATAATAGCCTTAGCCTTCCTCAAACATCTGACCCTGTACACCTCGCTTGGGTCATTTAAGGCAATTCCAGCAATCGGTGCAGACCTCTGAGCTGCATTGAAACTGCAATTTGGACCTTCAACGCATTGAAGTCCTCTATATGGAGAAAAATCCTGGAATGTTCTCCTCAACCTTAATTTCTTTTGAGACATGAATATCTTGGATGACTGTAAATTATCAGGAAATTTTAATTCTGAAGTGAACTAATCCTTTAAAGTCCCTGTAAAGTCAAAATTAAGTATGTGTTCCGAGTTTGTCACACCACAGAAAAATGTGTTATTAGCCACCCAGCCAAATTTGAATGATAAAAAAGCCGGCAAGTACATAAAATAAGCTACCAAAATCTTGAAAAAATGAGCATTATTCTCTGCTCTCAAACGCTGGGGGCGTGTCCGCTGGCTGCGCTGAAACCACGCCCACTCGCGGTAAAGCATTGCAAAGCTGCCGACGGTGATATTAGGTGATACTGCTTTCGGGACGGGGAGATGAAGGCCGAGTCGGGAGATAGTCGGTTCGGCCCCATTCACCAGTAACAGCGGATTATCAGTGAATCCCAGTTGTCTCAGACGAAAGTTTATAAAACTATCCCGTGTAAAATGATCAATACAGAGGCGGGTGTTGGCGGTGATCCTCAGCTCTCCATCAAGGATGGCTCTTCACAAAATTAATCCACCTCTTCTTGATGTGATCGTTTTTAGGAAATTTAAATAAAGACACCGATCTGTTTTATACATGATCGCATCCAGGTAGTATGCATTTCCGTGTCGAAGGCATAGCTAGCTAGCAAATTGTAGGCTGTAGCAACTAATAGTACTGACAGTAACTCGCGATTGAGCGCAAACTGATGTGAATGTGCTCTATTGTTAGGGGAGGAGCCAGCCTCAGTGCGTCATCAAGTAGGGGCGTGTGCAGGAGGTCAGGGGCTCCAGTGCGTCATCGAGCCCTGTTTTAGCCCCGCCCAAAAAATCCGGAAAATAGCAATGGTGAAAAACTGTTTAACGGTCTAACTCCACAATTCAGTACTTCACAGTTCACAGTCTTTGTAATATGTTTTAGCAATACATTTCTAACATTTATAATGTGTTTAGAATTTTTTTTAGAATTGCCTTTACAGGGACTTTAAGATGTGCTTGTTGTCGTACCTGCGGGTTCTCTTGGCCGTTCCAGCTGCGGCTCCATCTTGTAGCTGCTGTTGTTTGCGTTTGGCTCCTCTTCCTTTTCCTGTAGCCGCTGGAGGAAGCCCACCTGTGACAGATCCATACCAGAGTCTCGATTCAAAAACTGATGATGCAGAATCAACCTCAGCCTGATTCACATGCTCTGATCATCCAAAGCTAACTTAAAGGTGCAGTATGTGAGATTGACAGCTAGCGGTTGAAATGGGTCCAAAGTCAAAATAGCGGAGAAAGCTGTTTTCCCCTCCTGCTCAGAATCGACGCTCACGCGGGTTGCCAGATTGAGGACACACAATAGGAACGAGCGCAATTCACAATGGAAGGCGAGGAGACTTACGAAAGTTGACGAGTTGATTTATTGATTTATGATGAGTTGATAGTTTTAATATGCTCCAGTTCATAGAGATTTTTAGATGGGTGCGGATAGAATCTGATCTCTGACTCAGTTTGTTCGCTGGCTTCCAAGGCTGCAGCAATATGCTGTGCTTTCCGCCAACTGGCAACCTGTGGTGGCGAAATACTATTGGGTAAATTCATTGGCAACGTGCGGTTTCGCATAGACCAAAACAGACATTACCTAATGGAATGGACATTTCAAAGTAAAATAACTGGCTGTACAAGTGTTTTCCAGAGACACCAGTATGTGAACTCAGCATGTTTTCTAAATATCTGTAAACATATGGTATTTTTATGCTTTAGTACAGTGAAAAACTTACATACAGCACCTTTAAAGCCCAAACCTAAATGCTTCCAGCAGTTTACATACAGAGCAGCCCGGCTGAGTGTTGATCAGGGATTGAGTTCAATCTAATGGTCAGCGTTTGACAAACACAACGATAAAGTGTGAAAGCAATATGCTTCAGTGACAGTCCATTGATATGTGCCAAAAGACATGACGGTTAGATTTTCGTTGTCTAACAGGGAAGAGAGGGGGCACAAGCACACAGAAACATGAATAGTGCCGACATCAGGCTGCAGATTGAGGAGACGTGGCCAAAAGGAGCAAGCAAGTCAATCAAGAGGGAAAAGATCAATGCAAAGCAAGGGGGAGTTACAGGAGCACCAAACCAAACACCAGCCTCCGATTTCAAAAGCCACACCAAAAACGATCCATATTCACCTGAAAAACTTGATCCACCTGGAATACAACGCACAGCTTTAAAGGAACTCCCTCAGCATTCAGAATTAAATATGCAACTTTAACAATTTCTGGAGCTTAGAGCATTCTGTCTTACCGTTCAACCCTCCAGCACCGGTGATGGTTGTCACCTGCTTCTGGTTGTCATACGACGGCCCAATATTGCCCAGATCCTGAATAAAACCAAATACAGAACATAAACTCAAATTATTAAAGTAGTTTTAAGATTAGTAAAACGGAAAACTGGGTATGCTAGAATACAGAATGCATTCTGCAATTATGCAATCCGTTTTTTTGCCCCCCTGGTACTGTATCCCACAATGCAATGCATCCCCTTCATTCATAACACTGGTCTACAATGTCTTAGTAGTCATCTGTTTCAGAGATAAAATGTACTATTTTTTATGTATATTGATGTGTTGAATTCAAATTTGACAAATAAAAAAAAAAATTGGATCCTGTTTCCAAGATAATTAAGTTTTTACGTCCGTGTAAAATAGATGTAAAATTCTAATTTTCAAACCTCTCTGTACAATTTTCAGACCATATTTAACAGAAATGGTTCATACAGCATTATTTTTTTTGCATTATATTTGGAATATAATTTTCTCTTTTTTTCATAGGTTTTCTCAAAGTGATAACATGCACTTAAATGATGAAGAACCTAAAACCCGTTATTAATTGCTTAAATTTACCTCTGACACATCGATTTGATCCTGTAAAGATCACCAAACATTAGGGGTGTAACGATACCCTCATGTCACGATTCGATACATGTCACGATACTGAACTCACGATACCATATTATTGCGATACTCCAAGACATATGATAAAAGGTTAACAAAAAATGTACTGTTGATTAAAATGCTAACTTTGATATTACATTGTGTGTGTAAATGAATAGGCTCTGTGCTTTTAACCCAAGGACAATGGTGACACCAGAATAAAAATATTCATGATTCTGAAGCTGACTATTTTAGAATATTCTTGCACTTTTTCACTGACTAGATATATTTCAAATAATGTTGGACACTTTTTACTGGTCAGGTAACATTTGGTATTATCAGGACCCACAAATATTCCCCCATTGCATTATTATACATTATAATCAACATTATATATAGTAGTTTAATGTAGTACTGACACTAAAACTCTGAAAACTTGAATTATTTTCTCACACAGTAAATTTTTGGGGGGAGAACTATCCACGATACATATTGTTGCATTTTTGTATTGCAATATATTGTGGCACGATATATTGTTACACCAAACATCGAAGTACAGTCTGATTTAGATGACCATTTGCCCCTTTATCGGTTTCTGGTTTGAGTGGCACACGCGCATTCATTTAGTGAAGTTCAAAAGAGACTTGCTTATGTTAAAGACAAACAGATTTGCGTAATGAAAACCTTGTTGTTGTTGTTGTTGTTGTTTACTTATTTATACCCGTAGGTAAATTTGTTTTACAGTGCAATGACATTCTATGGCATTCAATACAAAAAACACAAAAAACGTTGCTTTGATTTCATTCAGTTGTATTCATTAACGATCGCTAAACTTTTGCCATTGAATGATACATTATTTTTATTTTATATTTTAGAAAACTGAATCAGATATGCTTACTTTGCACACTCCAGTTAGAACACTAAGGTCTACTGGACAGTCGTTTCTAGACTCTCCAAGGTCTAGATGAAAAACCAGAGGGGACAGAGCTTTTTCAATAGCAGGTCCTACGCTCTGGAACTCGCTTCCTCTCAGTATTAGAGCACAGGGGTTAAAGTGAAAAAAATTCCTGAGCCTGAACTTTTTGGGGGGGGGGGGGGGGGGGGGGGGTTCGGAGTAGATAACCTTATCTTCAATGGCACCATTTATTTTCAAGTATTACAGCTGTATCTTAATGCCGTCTTTTTATGAATGAAAGCCAGTATCACTCATATTATATTTACTGATGTCTCGATGAAAATTATTTCCCCCCAAATTTTAAACATTAGGCTTCAAAAAATATAAAAACCTTTAATTTAAGTGAACTTAAACCAATCCTCACTTAAACCCATAATAAATGTCATTTACCTGTACCATACAGAAATTGAATAAGGTTATAAAACAGTCCGCACATACATTTGAAATGAAATACAGATTAATCCTTATCAAAGCTACAAGCGTTCTTTAGTCGAGGGCAGTTAGTAATTTTCTCTGTTCTCTCTGTTCTTTAGGTTAACTTTACTGACAGACAGAATTAATGCCTCCTGTCACTTTAAGATCTGCCGCTGCTGACAGGATCTCACGCGTTTCATTCTCTCACTACTATTTACTTCCATTTAAGATTGTATTTAACTCATTTAAGACTGTTCTTGTGAGGATACTCGACAAAACGGACATTTTGGCATAAATGTGTGTGTTATTGTTCGTTCAAGCGCGAAAGAGAACTTGATACTGGCGCGCGTCTTTCTGTGCGTCTCGTGTGTGTGTGTGCGCACGCGTGTCAGAAGGACATTCACTGAAAGCGCGTTCTCTTTTGTCTTGTCGCGCATGAGTGGTTTAAAGCATTTGCGTGAATAAGAGCGATCATAACCCTAGCTAAAGGATGACAGAAAGAACGGATGCTGCGTTAATTGCTTAAATATTTTAACACGTTAGCTGGACAAAAATGAATCGCATGCGAAAATAATCATTTTTTCCTCACGGCCGCACGCCGGAGATCCGGCACGATGCCGGAATACTTTATGCCCTGAGAGCAGCTACCTCTGTTGAGTGTTTTAAATCATTGTTAAAAACGTATCTTTTTGGACTGGCGTTCGAATATTAGCTGAGCTGTGACATTTTATTATTTACTGTCTGTTTTGGAAATAGTTTTTATCTCATGTTATTTCTTTACCTGTATAGCACTTTGGGGCAGTAGTGACTGCTTGTAAATGTGCTTTATAAATAAACTTTGACCTTGACCTTTGACCTTGAATGGGGGCAAAAGTTGTGAAACACAAATATTTTTCCATATTCTGTTTTCTTTTTTCCCCATAGTTATTCAGACCTGGAAATTACTCAAATAAAATTCCATACTGCGTAGCAACACTGATAATAACTACTCTGTCTATAAAGTAAACACTTTAAAAAGAGTTATGGGTCGCACCTGATCAAGCAAACCAAATTTGGGATAGTCCTCTTCAGGGTCTTTGCTGCCGGGGTCGGGATGTTCTTTCACCAGGAAAACATCACGCTCTTTAATCTGAGTCCAAACAACACAAGTCAACCTTTATAAAACTCTATAATCCACATTACAGACATAAAAAATTTTTTAAGAATCAAGAGAATCTCTCAAACATCTCAATTCCTCACCATAGTCTTGACAATATTATTTGGCCATGTCAGTTTGCCAGGCCTCTGACGGGTCGTCATACACTCCCAGTATTTGTCAATGAAAGGAATGATGTCCTTTACAAGAAACCAAACAACACCACTGAAACCACAATATGAAAGACATGGCACTACAATCAGTCAACTTCAGCTGAAAGTGTACCTTATCTTTAGAGAACATTGTTTTGGGATGCTCCTCTTGAGTTCTGGACCTCCATGTCAGATTTGCCAAAGCGGTGAGACACATCTCCTTCAGATCTGTGGATATAAAACCATTCCACAATTAAAAAGATAAAAGGAAAAAACATGTTCAGAATGTAATACTGATGTGCTTCACTGCACACTACCTATGTAACAATTAGAGATGCACCGGTCGACCGGTCATCTTTTTTTTTTTTTGTCCGATCTCTGTTCTGGACTTGGACACAAACTGCATTGCAATTATTTCCCAAAATGTCATTTGTGTGGAAATATTACAAAGTAATATTGTAAACTGGCCTGTGTTAACGTCCTGTTTACAGTATTGTTTATACAGAGATGGGACACAAGGACATGCAATGCTCAAAATAGAGGAAGAAAAATATAAATATTGAATTGGGGTGGGGATTTATATGGCTGTCTCTGAAGGGAACTGACTTTTCTTCAGAATAGTTTTGATGGCATTTTCTATTTCCTCTTACCTCCATATAAAGTAGTGTTTATAAGCGCAGCGCTGCTTTGTGTACAGCAAAAACCAAGAATATGCTATATATATATAGTCAGTCTGCTGTTTGTTTTGTGCAAGTATGTTTATGCAGAATAATTTCTCAAATCTAGAGTCAGACCACTCTATCTTGAAAGTTAAATCTTGAAATTAGACTATTTAATTGAAATAAAAAACAACTGCTCAAACTACATGTTTGTAGAGTCTTTGATTGGATTGTGATTAAAAAGCAGTAGTTGCCTCTCATTTCAAATGGCTAGAGAGATTTTTTTGATTAAGTTTGACTTGTAATAGAGCAAATAAATCTGCTTGAAAAAAAAAAAAAAAAATCAGCAACAAGTATCAGAATCTGCCCATTTTCCTGTAAAAAAATGGATTTGGCCATGAAAAATCCTGATCAGACCCTCTCTAGTACAATTCAAACAGCAGTTTGCAACAGTGATCATCAATTCAACAAATCAAACACATCCACTCACTTGCTTGTTTCCTCAAAAAGTATGTGTTCCCACTGTGGTGACACACGTTGCAGTGAAACACATAATTGGTCATGAACGGCAGGCAAGTTCTGCAGGAATGAGAAGACAGACAGTGTAAGTACATGCATGTGGGACACCCGTCCATCTCAGATAATAAGAGAGCAACGCACGCCGTGTCAATGCTGAACGTGTCTGCTGTAAACCACTTCATGCAAAGCGCACACTGCAGCTCCACTTCCCCCAGCTGACGGCCGCTCTCGTCGTCTCCAGAGCCCGTCTGTGTGTCCGCCGCCTCAGAACTGTCCCCGGCCGTGTCCTGAGGACACAAACACACACAATGTTATGTTGTACTGAAAACCTGCTTGAAAGTCACCATGAAACGGCACATTCTTTAGCCATTTGACTTCTGTAATGGTTATAGCTGAAATGAACTCATTTCAAAATTGATGTACTTTACACAGTTATTGAACCAAAATGAATCAACACTAAACTGATTTCAGCTGAATAATGACACTATTGTCTTTTTAGAGCTGCTTTACAGCAGAATTTAAATGAATTCTGTTTCCATCAATGAATCATTTTCCTTTTTATTACTGTAAATCTTACTTTGAAACAATCTGTATTGTATAAAGCGCCATAGAAATAAAGGTGACTTGACATTTCCAAGTGACACAGAATATTCAATGAGGTCTTAGGACTTTTATATACAAAATGTTAGACTTAATTATCCATGGGGAATTGATTTCAATGAAAGAATTAAGAAGCAGTGGTATTATTGTTAAATAAAACTAAAACTATAATAAAAAAAAAATCAGTAATTGAAAAAGCTGAAATAAAATATATATTATTACATGAAAAATTTTAAACTTAGAAAAACGACATGTTTAACTAGCTTAACTGAAATAAATAAGTTTATGTTAAAGTACTAAAATTACTCAAACTGAAATTAATTAAAGCTACATAAATATGAATATATATACCGTATAAATGACTAAAGCAAATAAAGAATTGCTAGAACTAAAAATTAAATAAAAACTAAAAATATAAAAATTAAGTGTAATTCAAAATATTAATAAATACTATAATACTATATAAATACAAAAATAGCAGTTAAGAAGATAAACAATATGTGAAATAGCGAAAATCATACACAATAAGAGAAGTAATGCGTGTTAAATGCATAAAGTACAATTCCTCATGTGTCAAACACAATACCATTGTATCTTTTCCACTGGAAGACTCAGTCTCCATGTTTGTGGTCAGATCTCCAAATGAAGAATCGCTGCAAAAACACACATGTGAGAATATGAGATATAAAAACTGCCAGAACTGATCAGTAACTTATTCTTTAAGGGGGGCATATCATAACCACGAGCTCATTCTCACTTCACAGCCCACATTTACATATCAACACCACTGACATCTAACGTTATATATCATTTATTATACAGTTGATCATCAGCACCTATTTACTATCCAGCTCTGATGAGTGACAGCATGCAAATCACAACAGAGGTCGGGGTGTATGAATTAAATGAAACGAATCTTTTGTTTTGGCAAGGAGCTTTAGGGTAAATAAAGTAATATCATGTTTATTTGCAGTAAGAACTATCAGTATGTTAATTATATAAACGTCAAATTAAAGAACACAGGGGACAAATCTCAAATAAATAAGACGAAACATCGTGAAAACACCATCAATTCATTGTAACACTTGACTCGAGTGCTGCTGTGGTTTAACGTTATGCGTTAAAAAAAAGCGATATTAATATAACAGAGATGCGCTATAGATCTGTTCATGTGTTTAATTACGCAATATCAGTGTGTTCGTTTAATAAAGTGTGTTTTAACTGGTTCTCACCCGTCTGCTGTGTCTCTCTCGGTCACAGAACGCGCCTCAGCAGCCATCTTTCAAATGACGACCAGAGATTCAAATCTCGCGATGACACAGCAGCTTCATCGCTGCCATTCTGTCCGTGATCCACCCTGTGGTCTCACGCACACTGACACCTGTCGGACAACTGTTGAATTACTGTGGAAAGCAGTAGTATAGTATTAGTATTAGTATATAGTAATATTCAATCTTTTAAAAAGACTGTTTATCTTTTTAAATCATGTGTTGTTTGTCCTTCAAGGTTATTTATTTATTTGTGTTTTGTATTGTAAAGATTTGTAATAATTTTAAACACACATTTTAAACATTAGCGACATGATAATTCATGTCAGCAATGTGTTAAAACCAGCTAATTCATGCTAGCAAAATGCTAAGTCATCTTAGCAAAGTGTTAAATCATGTAAGCAACATCCTAAAACATGCAAGCGATGTGTTAAATCATGTAAGCAAAATGATAAAAAAAAAACATGCTAACAATGTGTTAAATCATGCTAACAACATGATAATAATGCTAGCAACATGTGTTTTAAAACATGTTAGCAGTGTGTTAAATCATGCTAGCACCACGTTAAAACCATGGTTAAAACATGCTTTTGCGTGATGCAAACAAACTATTTCCACAAATCAAAGTGTCTCTTTCTTTCAATACACAGTGGACATCAGATCCATCGTAAACCTGTAAAACACGGTTTAAACATCTATTACTACTAAAACATCCTTTTGTTCCTCTGAAACTGCAGGACAGTTATGTGATGGACTGTTGTTACGCAGAGAGGCCAGACGCCCGCGGAGAGAGAATTGCCTTGTTGATGGCATGTAAAAGAGGATTGTTCCTATACATGCTGTTTTCTCTGTCCATCTCGCTGATGTATTGTTGACCATCTGTGACGTACAGACAGAATGACCCCTTATAAGTTTATTCTGAATCAACACTTTGTAAAAATCAAACAAAAAAAAAACACAATCATATATCGCATGCTATCATGGACAAAATGATTTAAAAAAAAAATAGATTAGCACATTTTTTAGATGGAATGAATAATTCCTAACATACACATGACATTGTGCCAAGTCTGTGATACAGAAATCCCTATCAGGTTCATTTAATTGCAGAACAACCTGGAGAATTTTTTTTTATTTTCAAAAATATATTAGTTTTTAATTGTTAAATTAATGTAAAATGAAAATATTTCATGAAACAAATAAGCATCTGTCTTAAAATTATTTAAATGTTTTGTCAATTTTTATTAAATTAGAAAGTAACATAAATACACAAATAAATATATATGTATACTATATATATGTGTGTGTGTGTGTGTGTGTGTTTGTGTATGTATATATATATATACATACATACACACACACACATATTATACAAACACAATCTTTTGTAAAATGCGATTAATCGATTTGTAAATATGAACAAAAATAGTGATTTCTGAAGGATCATGTGACACTGAAGACTGGAGTAATGATGCTGAAAACTCAGCTTTGATCACATGGAATAACTTACATTTTACTATATATTTACATAGAAAACTGTTATTTTAAATTGTAATAATATTTCACAATATTACTCTTTTACTTTAAATATTCAGTTTAATTCTAAATTCAATAATAATAAATACTAATATTTTAGTTTAACATAAACATGCTATTCGAGAGACCTCAGAACTTTTATTCTGGAAGATGTAAGTCGATTTAATTAAGTATCACAACAGTCATTTACACGCTCGACCACCGTAAAATCACACAATTGCAAATATATGATATCATGGACAAAATTATTTAAAAAAAAAAAATAGATTAAATGTTCAAGATTATTTTCAGATGCAATTATTTTCATGTATCCAATTAAACAAAATCTTATGGGAGTTATGGCACATATTTGGCCTTTTTAAAAACCCTAAGATATAAAATTCTAGATTTCGCATCACATCCATATCAGCTGACTCACACAGTGGTCAATAATTTATACGTGTTCAACTTCAAAAGACTCTAAGAAAGAAGTGTAGGTTAATAAGGTTAATCTGTTTTCAACAGCACCACTAGAGAACTTCTCGTGTGTAATTGAGCTGTAAAGCAGGAAAGCTCCAGGCACACTCCTTCTGCAGGACCCTTGCTGGTGCACCTCCTCATCCTCAGCGGCCCGGACAAAGACGCAGGTCAGGCAGGGTCAGAGACACTGGTGACATCTGCTAATTGCCCTGGTGGGCCGGCTAAGCCTCGCTCAGTGAATACCAGAAGCATAGTTGGCGTTGGCGCCTGGCAGCTGCCGTGGAGGGCCACCTCTGGAGGCTTTGGGGATTATTTACAACATCATAAAGCCTTTGTCTAAATGCTCCCACTGTGCACACAACTCATCAAGGTGGAGTGGAGCACACTTTAGATGTTGCAACATAAAATTGCTTCTGCAACCTTTGTTGCCTGCATGCATAAGAGCTGTTTTAGATATTAATATGCCAATTAAAACAAATACAACTTTCCCAGGCACAAAGTGTAAAGCGTTTCGAAATTGTTTTTTAGTGAGGAAGGAAGTCCCTATGTGCATTTTGCATTCAATCTACTGTACTGAGATGTAATTGTTGTTTTTCTGTAGAAAATATCAAAATTACCTTTTTATTTAGAGAAACATATCATAAGTGCTGTCAAATCGATTAATCGCTATTAATCACACCTAACATAAAAGTTTGTAAATATATGTGTATACACACACATTCACAAACTTTTATGTAGATTCGATTCGATTCGACAGCACTAATTTAATTTGACCTTTTTTCCTATCTAATCTATTCTCATTTTATTATTTTAGTTTAATTTAAACATGCTCACCTCAGAACTTTCCTCCTGGGAGACTTTAGTCGATTAATTAGCATAACAACAGCTTCTCACGCGCTCGACCACCGTAAAATCACACAATTGCAAATAACGACAAGCACTGATACAAAAAACTACACGGCTCTTCAGAAAAGGGCACATTTTAACCAGATGCAGGGCAATAAATTGCAAAGGAAACGTGTCACCCACTGAGACACATTCACATGTTAAAGTGTGTAAAGGAGGAGTTTAAAGGTTTGGTTTAAACACACTGAGGTCCTTTAACATGTTAATTTTACACGTGTCTGTTTGAGGTGTATATAAGCGGAGAGATAGTCAGATATCACAGTACTGTAGTTATACGGACACATACATTTACTTGCTACTCTTGGAACTGACTGTCAGGATGCATGAAGGAACCAGTTCCGCACTGCAGGGAAAAACCTCCTTTTCCATCGCAGACATTCTGGATTCCTCCAAATTCAACGGGAAGCATCAGGACACGCGGAGAGACGTCAGGACGCAGGAAAGCTCAAGTGAGTTTCAAAATAAATACGGTTTAAAAAGTTAAGTAGTATGTTTAAAAATGTATTGCATTCATTTTTATGTAGCTAGTTGTAGAAAATAGTGATTACGTAACGACCAATTTCAACACAAAAAAACAAAGCGAGCAAGAGACTTTTGAAAACTTTCAAATGAAAAATCCTTCAGGTGATTTCTCCAGGAGAGGGCAGTGTGTGGTGTTTGTTTATTCTGAAACATTTTAGTTGGACCTCATACAAGTTTTTTTGTTGTTGTTCTTTAGAACGTTCAGAGAACATTCAAAAGTTACATTCCCGTAATGTTTGCAAAATGACTAAATGGAATTTTCCATTAACATTCGAATTCGAATAGCCAAAAAGGTTCTTAAAACGTTTAAAACACGATTTCATAACTTAATGGGAATATTAGCAAAAAGTTAATAGAGCATATTTGTTAGCTGGGGTGCCACAATACAATTTAAATTAAATAATTCACACACTGATTATAATGTTGTAATGGAAATTTCTCACGTTTCAGTAAATAAAGACACTGTCAAGGGAACTTCTTCTCAGGACATCCCCAGCATTTCTGGCACAAAGGGAAAGTCAAAGCGGATCCGCACCGCGTTCACACTGGATCAGCTGCGCATCCTGGAGCGAAGCTTCCAGAACAGCCACTATCTGTCCGTGTTTGAGCGCCACTGCATCGCCACAGCCCTCCGTCTGTCTGAAACGCAGGTCAAGATCTGGTTTCAGAACCGGCGCACCAAATGGAAGAAGGAACAAGAAGGTCAAGAAGGAGAGGAGCAGAACCATTGTGCACCTCCTGCCTTTGCGCAGAACTCTTTTCTGTACGCAGGACATCACACAAATCCTGTGCATTATTACCCAGCACCACAAACACCTTATCTGAACCCATCTTACCATCACCAGACCCTCATGATGTTCTGATCTACTTTAGCATGATGCCATCAGAGAACATTTTTAGTGTGTAATTTTTAGTGTTAAAGAACAGAAACCAGTATGCCGATCTAAAGAACCAGTAACTTTTTTTAATCTGTCCATATTGAATCTCAAGAAAGTTCTTTGTTCAAAGGTGCTCCAAAGAAACACTGAAGAAAGTGTTTTTAAAAGTGAATGAATGACAGCTATATATTTAATGTGATATTTAATCTTTTTAATCCTTGCCATAATATTTATAATGCCTTTGACAATTATATTTATACCTCATTTTAAATGCAAGTAATTGAAATATTACAATAAAGTTTATATTTTTGCACTTTCGACTATCTTGTTTTGCCATTTCACAAAGTTATATGTAAGGTCAATGGAAACACAATATATTTTGTTATAAATTAAATGCTTATGAAACATGCATGGTCTTAATTTGCGTTATTTCCACTGAGCAGCTCAATGAAATCTGCTAGCTGAATTTCACTGTTCCACTCATATTTCCCAAAATATGATGCTGATTTAGACTTTGGATGAAATAAGTTAATATATGTGCACGCCAAGTGTTATGGAAACTGAAAGTCACAAAAGAGTGAATTAAAACCATCAGCAGATTAATTTACAGATGGAGGGCAGAAAGACAGGAAATCAGATGATAAGAGCAGAACTGAGTCACGGCTACAGTCTCCTGGCTCATCATGGAAGAAGATTATGAATATGAGCAAACGTTTTAAACGACTCCAACAGAAACACATCTGTCTGTAATTCAGCACATGGATCTGATTAACGTCAGATGTCCGTTGGCACCATCAATAAATAGTTGCTTTTTCATGGTCGCAAGAGAACCGTGTAGAAGATTCTTTAATTTCCCACATTCTGAATTAGTTTGCTTCATGCAAGTCTAACCAGGAATGGAGTCAGAAATGTGTTGGTTTCAATAAAATATATATTAGCTCTACAAGGCAAAGTTGAGAGCGAACATGTTTGACAACCATTGAACGTTAAGAGAAAAAATATGAAGAAACAACCACTGATTGAGTGTGTTTTTCCAAAATCATGAAGGCAGATCGGTGCCATTTCTGCAAACTACACTCTCTTCAAAGACTTTTAGGCCTTATTTGGTACTGAGCGGCTTTAGTACTCCGGTTTCATCTCATTTGCTCAATGAAAAAATTGTTTGTATTGAAAGCAAAAAATGATGAGATCTGCCTTTGTACCTTCTGCTGAATCAAACCAGGTTTGATTTATTAAAGTATGAACTCAATTCAAGAAGTCTCTTCTGCTCACCAAGGTTGCATTTATTTCATAAAATAAATAATAAATAAAAATACAGTAAAAACAGTAATGTTGTGAAATATTAGTACAGTTTAAAAGAAGTTTTCAATTTGAATATATTATAAAATATAATTTATTCATGTGATCCGAGCTAAATTTTCAGTCTTCAGTGTCACATGATCCTTCAGAAATCATTCTGATATGCTGATTTGCTTCCTAATTTTTATCAGTTATCATTGGTGTTTCATTTGTATCATTAATACTGCTTTTTTTCACTCAAAAACTGAGGTGCATAAACTCAGATCAAACTATCTCTCAGTTTCAAAAATAAATACAAAACCTGTCCTAACTGAAAGAAAACAAGTTGAGGAAAAAGATTTAATCCAATAATATTTGCTGATAATATAGCATAACGAGATTTATACGCTATTTCTTTGTAGGCCAGTTATTTTTGACCAGGAACTCCACAAGTGTAACAAGTTGTCAGTATCCCCAAAAGGTACAAAAATGACCCAAACCTTTTTGGAAAGTAGTAAAACCCTGTGTAAGAGAAATCAGTAAGTTTTAGTCCAATGCAATAACATTATATCTGCAAAAACACAATATAAGGGTTAAATCTTACTTCGCCTCAAACTTTTGAATGGTAGTGTATTAAGGTTTCCACAAAATATTAAAGGGATACTTCACCTTTGGAAAGATGAATGTGTATTTAAAATGGGTCATTTATGTAGAAGAAATGTGACATTATTTTTGAATTTGGAGCTTTCTAGAATCTAGACTGAGAAAAGAGAGAAAATTAATTTTTGGCTTATGTGGATGAAAGACAACAACTCCCAGAATGCACTTGCTTCGCTGCCCTAGGAGGCCACGCCTACCGGTAACAGAGCGTAGTAGTTAAACAACAAGTCTAGGCTACTAGTGAGTCTCCGTGATGAGTCTGCCCGAAAATGTGTATCAAGATCGCCCAAAATGTCCGGGATTCGGCTTTTGCGTTCTAAAGTCGCCATTCATCATGTTTACTGTGGCGAGCAGGACGAGTGAGGGCCGCGGGAGAACGGCGCGAGGCCGGTGGCGTGATTACCGATGAGCGACACCTGTGAGACGCACCGGTCTCGTATCTCTCACGGAGGAGCGGGAATTTTCTTAGCAATGTTAAAAACGCACATCAACCGATCACTTGTTTAGCGTTCATGTAAACACTACATTCAGATTCACCAATCGGAATGAATTCAGTTAGATTGAAACAAAAGGTGTGCATGTAAACAATGAATGGCGACTGCAGAAAGCAAAAGCTGAATCCCGGGCACCGACGGCCGGACATGTCCGGGAAAAAGAGGATGGTAACCCCTACTACTCAGCTTTCTCCACAGAACAAGAGCCTGCTAGCTTAGCTTCCAAAAAAAGATGGCTGACACTATGTGTACATTCTGTGAGTGAGATCCCACCCTCTATGGGCGGGTTGAGAACATGCGAAACAGCTCCTTCTACTGGCTGTAGTCTTTAGCCTCTGGCCAAAAAATCCTCCGATGATGCAAAATGACGATTTTTGCGTCATCGGATGATTTTTTTCCAGACAAAAAATACGTAAATCTCTCCTCTCAGGGGGATATGAGGGTGGAAAGCACGGTAATTCGAAAATACTACAGGTTTTCTACTAATACAAAGCTTAATGCTAAATCCTGAAGTATCCCTTTAAGCAGCAAAGACTATCTTACTTTTCCACAAACCTTTGAACACAAGTGTACATTCTCTCTCTCTCTCTCTCTCTCTCTCTTGGTCTCCTCCTCTTTTTCTCTGTGGGTTTGTCCTGCTCCTCACTCACTCAGAGGGGGATGTCCGAGGAATTCCATTCCACTGAAAGAAGGAAAAACAGCCACAATCCCGTTACATCTGACTTCCACACCAGCTTCATTGATACCATCTCCTGCAGATTATCCAAGAATATCCAAACATCTGGATGAACTACTTTTCATAGACAACCTGACGAATCCAAGCTATCCAGTTTTTGCTTTTCCAACTGTCGCACACTTACCATTCAAAGAGAGACCATCTCTAAACTGTAGTATTGGTGTAGAAGGTCCCAGTTGACCATGCAGGCACCGAGGGTTTCACTGTATGCAACCTTATTTGCCCTGTGCTGGATTTTGACGTTTGTTATCAATGAAGAGTTGGTTAATGCTGCCAAGTCCAAACAGAGAACCAGAGGCGTCCAAATGAAGCAAAACAGCGGCATTATTTCAAAAAGAGAAGATCTACATGATGGACTTTCAGAAGACACTCAGATGGACGAGCCTGGAGCAGAAGAAATGGCTGAAAAAGAAAAACCAAAGGGAAAAAAGACATCTGAAGAGTTATTAGCTGGTAAGTTGCTTGCTCAACATTGAACAGAATAAGACTTTAGACTTTATGTAGCTAATGATGTTTTTGGTGTTTGCAGCCCAGTTTCATGTAGGATAGGAAGGCTGTGATTTGTCATAATGACAGATATCTGGCTCAGACAAAAGCTTTACTGGCTCCTTTGAGGTTATGCAACATTTTTAGTGAAACCATGACTGGTCAGTCCACTGACACACTTTCTGCTGTCGTTTTTTCTTCCTTTTGTCTTTCATTTGAGGGGGAAAAAAACACGAAGGAGGCATGTGGGAATGAAATTATAGTTGTGGGCTAGAAAAAGGGTTGAATGAGAATCACAGATGGTTTCTGAAAACACTACGGGTTTTGAATACGAAAACAAACATCTCTGTTTTGCTCACGTCAGAGTCCTGTGAGGTTTGGGAAACACAGACGGGAAGAGAGACAGAGCCGACATTTGGTTTGAATTGAAACACTCAAGAGTTATCGGATCTGTTTGAGACAGCTGTGTGTGTGTGTGTGTGTGTGTGACAGCTTTCCTTCAGTCGCCTCGGCCTGAAAACTATCAACAGGAGGAAGTTGCACAGCATCCGCAGGGACATTTTATCGGTCTTTTGTAGCTCGGAAGATCTCAATTATCTTGTAGGATTAACTTTGTCTCAGATGTTTCTCCTAAAATTTCTGGGGACAAAAAACAGACCAAAATGAGTCAATAGTTGTCATCCAGTAAGAGTAAAAAGCTGTTAAATAAAATATGAGTCCATATTGAGATCTAAGTTTGAGACATTGTTAAGATCTCTTCCGAAACTCTAGAGGAGAAATCTGTTGTAAAAACAAAAAGATTATTGGAGTATGTTTTACAAGAAAATACTAGACTTTCTACTTTAAACTGTAATGTTTAATTCAATGTGTTACTTGTTGTTTCTTTGTAATTATTTGTGGAATTCACTAGCAATTTATATGCCGTTCTTTTCTAAAGCAAAAGTCTCCATTTCCACTGTTTATTTACATTTAATCTCATTGCTGTCAAGGAGAAACAACATTTTAGATAAGACCTCTTTGGTAACTCTGTGCTGAAGTTAAATCTTTAAACATAAGCTAGTGTAATAATTCATATCCGAAAGGAGGGATGACTTCCAGTCCAAGCAGTGATTTATTTGTGTTTCCATGGTCTGGATTTAATCTGATAGTATTTCAAGTGTTGCTTCCACCATCAGAGTGGTTTCAGTAGTTTATGACAGCCGTAAAACTTTATAAAAGCTTCTCTTTGATTTGTTAAATTTGAACAACTATGAGTTTGACTCAAAGCGGCCGTCTAAATAGGCAACATGTCAGTGTGACATCTTTATGTGTGAATAAAACAGGAGCCTGTACAAAAGAAAAGCACAAAAGGGACCAATTGTAAATTT